TTGTCAGTGCCCTCTACTGTGCAAGCTGTCATATCCCAAGCCTCCTCCCCCTCGCTACTCTGCGACAGTGACACGAATTTGTTGAGGTGTTCATGTGTCTAACTTATTTGCTCTGTTCACCAATCACCGCTAAATAATCATCATAACTGCTACTATCATCTTAACTCCTCCCTGAGCAATCATTTTCTCTTGATGGTGAACTTTGAGATAAAATGAGTATCAATATTGTAACCATATCAATACTTATAACCATATTCATTATTATAACCATATTGCTTGGCCTTCTTTGCATGCATAGACCCTGGGGGGGGGGGATATCAAAATCTATCTTTGCATAAAAAAGGGTTGCTTCCACTCGCTCTTCAGAAATGAAAATTGGCAGCTGGGAGTGCGCATGCTGATTACGAAAGAAATGTATATCAGCTGCTTGGTCACCCGCTACTATCGACTTATTGGCTTTTGTGTGTTTCAATAAGGCCCTCGACCAGGTTCAGTGCACGGGAGAAAGTCTTTACGAATTTAAGTCATGCATTATCGACTAAGTTAACCAAGATCACGTCAATCAATACGCGCAATTTTCCGGAAGCTTCGATAGCCTAATTGTCGCATAGCAAAGATTCGGCATCTGTTCAATATTCGGAAGTAACCGTTGTATATCACCTAGTAGCACAACAAAAAGTACATGATCGACGATGTGAACCTAAAGTTAGCACTATTTTCAGAAAATCGTAACTTCTTTTTCTTACAGAAATTTTGCATGACAAAAATAATATTAGGAAGAGCAAATCGTACACTTTCTAAGCCTTGCCTTTTACTAAGCTTTGATTGCAGAGATAAAATTGGTAAAAGGAAATCACTTCAGTTTGAATTTTGGGGCAAGCCCATTAAAAAATCGAAATCTCTGTCATAAAATCCAAAACACACATTATCCTAGGTTTTTGATCCTCTCTCTTTAGCTGAGCAAAATTCGCGCTGATCGAGCCCTTTTGAAAAAAGTTATGATTTTTTGGAAAATAATGTCAAAAATCAATTTTCTTAAGGAACTGATTTTTTGGCATTTTTTCCCCAAATCATAATTTTTTCAAAAGGCTCGATCAGCGCGCATTTTTGCTCAGCCAAAAAGAGGGGATCAAATAACCTGGGTTACTGACTCTTTTGGAACTTTTGAAATTTTTAACGAGCTTGCCTCAAAATTCCGAAATTGATTTGATTTCCTTTTCCCAATTTTATCTCTGCAATCAAAGCTTAGTAAAAGGCAAGCCAGGTGCCCTCAGAAAGTATACGCTTTGCTCTTCCTAATACTATTTTTGTCGTGCAGGATCATCGTAAGACAAAGAAGTTACGATTCTTTCAAAATTCCGGTACAACCTAATATCTCTATACCGGCTAATCCTTGTAAGTTGGTGACTCTCCAGGAAGAAACAAATAATAGTCAAAGAAATATGCAAACAATCAGAAATCGAGGAAACTATCGCACTGCTCTCTCCTAATGGCATCGCTACTCGTACGAAGTCTGGAAAGTTGCCCTTTTGATCGAAGATGAGGTTTACAATAAGTTGCACATGACCTCGCGTGATGATTCCATCGATGTTTGAGAAGTATGCGCACCAAACCATTGATGACTGGCTTAGCTTACCCTAAGTTCAGTTTGTCGTCATCCGTGAGGCGCCGCATATGAGCTTTCACAAAACATCCATATGCGCAAAGCACTATGTTTTCCAGAACTTAGTGCGAGAGACTGGGAAAAACATACTGCTCAACCCGCAACCACAGATGGGTATTATACGAGCTCTGCATTTGCGAGAACATTTTGCAGCTTTTCAGTGGATTTTGCACAAACTTGGAAAATCTATGAAAATCGTTCAGATTTCATGAGAACTCTGAGTGATGAATCGAACAGCTCTACTTTCGGACCAGTTTCTAGCAATAATCATGGCCCACATTCCGCACAATCACATACAGTTTGTCCCAATGGAGATCAGACCCAACCGTTGGCTAAATTTACGGCTGGCAGTGCTCGGGGGTAGCGCTGCACTGCATATGCGCTCTTTGAGGGAGCGCAAATGAGGAGAGAGACAAACTAGAGTAGACGTGTCGCAATACCCTCCCTCCCGATCTCGGACTAATTAAACCTGAGACAGACTCTATGAATGACGAACTCGAGTTTAGTCGAAAACGAAATTTTGACCAAGTCATATGCAAAAAAGACTGCAAGTTTCAAAAAATTCTTCAAAAGCGGACTTAATCCGCTGACTAATTAATCTATGCTGAGATCACAGCTCCGTCTTCTATCATGCTTCAAGGCCAGGAATTCGTGAGTTGATCGGATTTCGCATAACTTTTCTCAAAAAACAGATACGTTCTCTTTTACGTAGGACAACTAAGTTTTTGCGAGTACAAACTTTTTGGGACATCTCTACAGTAATAATCATACTCATTTGAAAGCCCAGGAATGTGAGCACTAAGCTCTTCCCGAATGAGAATTATCAATGTTGCATCGGATTGATTACAAATCCTAATTCATTTGAACCGTAGACATTTTGATAAAAAGCGTTCTCATCTAATCTATAGCAGATACAATTCCTTTTGATATAGATACGCTGAAAATGAAATATCCAATAAAGACAGTACCGCTTCGAAGCATTGCTCACACCCACTTACCAGACCAAAGTGCCGCGAAGCGGCACTTTGGTCTGGTCTTATATATAAAGCTGAATGTCTGTTTGTCTGTCTGTTTGTCTGTCTGTCTGTATGTCTGTCTGTCTGTACGTATGTTCCGAATAGAAAATTCCATTTCTGAACCGATCCGGACCAAACTTGGCACACATACACTTCGGGCCCCGGCGGGTGTCATAGGCTACTTTTCGTCATCGAACGATATCGATTTTATCAATTTTTTACAAAATTTGAGCTACGGGGCTGGGAGTTGGCACAGGGGGGTATTCGAGCATGCTGATTACGAATATAATAATGACAGGGCCGGGCGGAGCCGGGTAAGTCAACTAGTAAGCCATAAATTGAAGAGTCTTCATAGTAGTTACTAGTGGTCTTCACTTCGGCGGTATGTATAGGTCGTAGAAATATGTATAGCAGCTCCTTTATCACTACTGACGGGTTAATTTGGGGCTCTTCGAATCTTGGAGAGCTGTGATTTTACTTCTTCGTCCAACCTTCTTGAAGCGTGAGAGTGACAGAACTTTCGTTTTAATACGTTTGCAACAAAGTGACCATAGTGGCATAGCTGTCATTCCAAATCAAGATTTGCCGAAATTCAATGAAGAATTTTCTATGAGGATCTGGATGTAAATAAATGATTTGTGTGTTTCACTCAGGTAATCGCCGGATGCAGGCGGTCCGCAAACTCGCGCTTTCCTGCAGGCGGTCAGCAGAATTTTGGGGCGTGGAATTTTCAGTGAGCGGTACTTCCGTGTTCTGCCAGCCAAGGTAACACTCTACATGATAGAGGTGTCCTCGATGGTTCAATTACCCGAGTTTGGGGTACTTCCTCCCAGCGGAAGGTAGCTACGGGCTGTGCTGTCCTTCACAAAGGACCGCGCGGCCCCCAATAATTTTTCATATTCTCGCGAAAGGTCCGCTAGAATGCGACCACTGCGCCGCAACCAATCCATGAAAAAGCAGCAATTGTCCTCCGAGCATTCGTCCAAAAATCACCAAAATCCTTCCAAATATCTGCAAGCGGACCGCGAGAAACCAGCGAACTATTTTTTCGGTGCCCGCCTGCCCCCGGCGATTATCTGAGTAGACAGCCATCGCATAGATGTCTTCAGGGTAGACGGAATGGTCGTCGATTAAGGATGCGCATTCGGGTTACCGTATTTGCAATAAATGTATGTACTACAGTGCTATGGGTTGGACATAAAGGCATCGCTATTGACGTTGGCTTCATACCGATGCCAGAAAGAGAGAATTTGAGCCCACGCAGACGCGCGGGCCGCGCCGCAGCAGCTGCAACTTGCGCAATGTCTGCGTGGTGACCATAACACTAGATAAGAGAATCACTGGAATCACAGGAAATCTTGTTCGCTGCTCATTAAATCTGGTTAAGTGTGGGGACTATGCTTCATATGGGTGAACTTAGTTACATTATTCAGTGCTTACTAGTAGCCTGAATTCGAACGCGATTGACCCCTTCTCAGGCATTCCCTGTGTCCCGCGATCTTGAGATCCAGGATGTAATACTCAGGTGAACTCGCCGAAATTGAAACGATGTGGACGACGCAGAGGCGCAGTGCGAACGAATGACGTGCGTGCGATCAATCGATGATTTCTTTGCGCTCATCTGCCCACTTAGCCTTCCTCGTAGTTTTGCGCGCTCGTTGCACAACCCCGTCAATCCCACGAACAAACAGCCCCGTCGCCCTTTCGAACCCACTTCTCTTGAGATTACGACTTTTGTCGTAAATTCGCGAAACATTCGTTTCGGACCATATCGCTTAGTCATTGGAAGTTCAGCTCAACTTCCTGCTGCTTCGTCAATACTACTTTGACTTCTTATCTTGTTTAAGTATGTGCATGACACTTCCAGATTGTTTGTCTCATGATTAACGTGTCCTGCACTTTCCGCTTATTTGTTCTTCTGATGTATGTCAATATGTTGATTGGAAAAGTTCTCATGCAGATGAGTATCTGGCCACTCATTCATCATCAGATGAGTCATCCTGAAAAAAAAAGCAGAATTTTTAGAAAAGCTTTTTGTGTTTGATTTACTCATCATTTCCGTTCGGTATTAAGGTTATGGATCTTTCACCTTTTTACTAGCTTTTTGGACTTTTTCTTATCCTCCGCCCCCCCCCCCCCCCTATGTCACGTTTTTCTTTTAATATACTTGCATATGTCGACGTGTCACCGCTCGTATAAACCTAATGTTTGCGCGGTGATTGCGATCATGCTAAGATGACTTCAAAGCTAACTTTTAGTCTTTGCAACGGTCCGAAATCGATGGCTAACAGCTGTTCGTAGAGTTTCCATTGTTTCTTAAGTGGAGGTAACTCACTTCTTTGCTACGTCTCATTAGTTTGCCATTCCATTGCTTTTTATGCGTGGCCTAGTTTAGCCTCTTCCAGAAAGTTCTTCGCATCTCGCATCTCGGTTTGCTTGTTTATCTCTTTGAAAACGGCTTGTTGCTTTTCTTCTTAAACTTTAGAAATGCACCTATATTAAATCAAACATTTTATACATATGTTTGCGGAATTTTATATTCTTTATATGCACGCATGCACAGATCTCTCCAAATGTTTGAATGTCCGCATGAGAAGATGAACTGTGCAATTTCTTGGACTGGCAGCCGTTAGAACCCTTCAAAAATTTAGGGAATCTTTACGGAGTCAAGTTTGCGAGTTACGTCTTCAAAGAACCAAAAACTCTACTCAGCTCGCAAAACTTTTGTTGTAGTCGCCTACCATATATTTACTTTTTTCAGTTAGACATCCAACTGCATAGAGGGGTCTCGTCTCACTCGCGCGCAGTGGTCATTAGTTATCGTCAAGCCGTGTCTCTGTCTCTGGTAGTTGTTTCTGGAAAATTTCTTTGCGCCTAATATGTTGGCATCTTATGGGGCTAATTTTTGAGTGATTTTCGCCGAGGTGTACGAAATAAGTCTCTCCATAATCCTCTTCGCTTCTGTGATTTACGTTTTTGGAGCTGCTTCCATTGAAAAATATCTCTGGACGTTTTCTGTGAAATCTATCAGCAAATAACATAAGTGCTCTTTCCCATGTAAATTGTCACAAATTTTTTAGAGACGCTTTTTTGGGCATATAAGTCTCTCATATCTGTGAATCATCAAATCCAAATAACATGGATTTATGTGGCGTGCATAGTTGCCCGCTCGCCAGCACTTTCGCGCCAAACTTTTAGCCCGACGCTTACAGTCTCTGTTTGTTCGTCTTTTTTCGACTCAAACTGGGTCTCCGAAAAGATGGTCGCCACCATTGTGGGGAAAAAATGAGGCGCTGTCGCGAAAATTCATATTTCGCGCGGCATGTCTCCTTGCAACTATAGACGCAATCTCAACATTTCACTAATCACCAAAATTTCGCTATGTTTTACTATCGAAATCTTGGTGACCAAGATGCCGAACCTACCTGTTTCTCATTTATTGCGCATTCTGGACATACCGGTTTTTTTCTGATCAGGAGCTGTGTGAAATGATAATTGGGTGGCCTTAACATTATGGATTAGGGGGCATTCTTTATATGGATGTAATTTTTCTAATAAAGTTTATAAAGTTATAAATTATGTTACGAAGTGTATAAAAATCAACTTATTATGAAAATTTTGTAAGCTCTCTAGCAGCATAATCTGTGTCCTTTCTTGCCTAAAAGATTGTCTCTGACCACCATAGCTACCAACTTCAAGGAGGGTTTTGTGTCTTCAAAATATGTCTGCTTTTCCCAGTAACAAGCTCCTTGGTACTTCGGCTGCTCTCACTCATAACAACTTCTCCTTCGCATTGTATTGTCACGAGAACACTTGAGATTATTCTAGTATTTTCCAGAACATAACAATCAGTAGTGATAGAGCTGTGAATTGCCTCAAGCAGTTTGTGTACGGATTGGGAACGCTGCCATTCTATCTATTGAAAATATCCCATTATGGCCTGGACAATTCAGATACGCTTGGCGCCATATGAGCCAAACATTCATACAGCCTCGTCAGCTTATCTTTTGTGCATAGCGTTGCAATATTCATTCGTATCAGCGTCCCAGCGTTTTCATATTTTCGTTTTTGCTTATTATCTGTGCACAGCTCTTTACCAAAGATTATAATCATTTTCAGTTAATAGGTTTTCAGGCAAAAGAAAGAAACATTTTTGTACAACTTGCAGGGCGTGAGATAGATGAACTGCAATTGTTGACATTCTACGATCCAAATTAAATGAAAAGCGGTAAGAGTCTCTGATCTAACACAAATCAAAAACTCAAAGGGTTGTATGCTTCAAAAACTTCTGGATCTAAGATATCATTTTAAATGATCTAAAGTTGGAATGATTTGGCATGTTGGTTAGGCAAGCAAATCTTGCTGCTATCCTTCGAGTAAGTGCAGCATATTCGTTGCAGACGTTTAACATTCATTCTGTTTTATTTTTACGAATAATTACCTATTTGCACTGAGAACCATACTAACAGTGGAGACGAAGAGTTTGTAAATGTAGAATTTCACTTCGAAGAGTGCAAAGGAGTTACAATTTACATTCATAATCTACATGATTCACTCCCGCTTGCCCATTTGCCCGAGAGCCTTTTGAGTGATATTCTATAAACGATTCATTTTGACCCAAGAATTATCACAGCTTCTAAAGCAGCGTATTCAAAGAGACAGATAGACGCCGAAAAATTCTAGCTCGTAGTCGCGGCTAATACACGCACAACTTTAGAGCCCCGTTTATTGCTTGAGGAACACTACCTCATCCAAGATTTTATTGCTATCATTTTCCACTACTCTTAAACCTCGCTTAAAACTGGAATGTAAATCCCTCCAGCTACCATCTATTGTAGAAGATAGAAGATCTTAGATTCACAATGTGGTTACAAGAGGAGATTAAAAAAGTTGCGCAACTACACCAGGTGATTCACACATGAGCGGCAACTACATGTTGCCGTATGTTGCCAAATAAAATAAATCAAGAAACTTAAACCGGAGCTCTATGGAAACGAAGATGCATTTCCATTCCACATGAACATATCCTATATGCAAGCGTTTGTCACTTCTGTGATTTTCAATCGGGAAAGGCTATACAACAATTCATCTTTCGTCTGATAGTCGTTGAGTATGCAAACTGGACAGTAGAGGAGATCCCTTATGACTTGATCATATTATAGAACCAATCTCTCTATTTCAAATGTATTGGCGGTGTCAACAGGTTTCAGAAAGTAATGCTCACCATTTTGGAAACGGGGATTGGTCTTTTACTGCCATTCCTATAGGCACCAGTACACCCCCATGAACAATTGACATTGTCTATGGTTTTGACATCCATATCTCATGCAAAAATTAATTCTTCTTATCTCATTTCGATGGTATAAAAAGATGGTCACGTTTCTGGTTAAGCTTTTCTTATAGCTGACTAGCTGGCTTACCCGGCTCCGCCGTATGTTCCGAATAGAAAATTCCATTTCTTAACCGATCCGGACCAAACTTGGCACACATACCCTTCGGGCCCCGGCGGGTGTCACAGTCCACTTTTCGTTATCGATCGATGTCGATTTTATCGATTTTTTGCAAAATTTGAGCTACGGGGGTGATCAGCATGCTCGATTACACCCCTCTGCCAAATCCCAGCCCCGTAGCTCAAACTTTGCAAAAAAATCGATAAAATCGATAAAAGTAATGCACGATTTTAAAAACTAATATTGTATTCGGAATCCCCATGCTCACTTACCCCCCTGTGCCAACTCCCAGCCCCGTAGCTCAAATTTTGCAAAAAATCGATATCGATCGATACGAAAAGTAGCCTATGACACCCGCCGGGGCCCGAAGTGTATGTGTGCCAAGTTTGGTCCCGATCGGTTCAGAAATGGAATTTTCTATTCGGAACATACGTACACACAGACAGACAGACATACATACATACAGACAAACAGACATTCAGCTTTATATATAAGACTATGTTTCTGTACAAGGTTTTGAACGGCTTAACAGCTATCATTTGGTTATTGAACCTTATATGAAATGACAATTTTTATGAGGTGCTAACTAGTGGATTATTCTTGACAGCTGTGTGCACATGTTTTTCGGGGATCAATGTCCGCAATTGTATATTGCTGCAAACTAGCAACATTTATTCCTCAAATAGCCTGAAGTTTCTATTTCTGACCAGTGCTTTTTCTGCATTCACCTTCTGCGTGTTTCATCTCTTCGTACAAGGCAGTTTTTGTATTATGATGTATCCGAGTCCACGCATGGCGTACGCACTGATTCGCAAACCGCTTTAGTGCAGCGATTACGATGGAATCCTCTCAAGTTCTTCATTACGCATGCAGAACTGTTTGCTGCCTACATCGTGTCGTGCGTAAAGTTTCGGAATGTTCTGAGAGTAGTGTGATGGATTCATTGTTTTTACTTACTTTACTAGTTTTTGAAAAAGACAATTACAGCTTTCATCGGTGATTATGTTGGCATCATATTATCTTAATTCAGTTTTCTAGCAGGTTTGAGCGTACTCCAATCCTGATATGATGGTTACTCGAACCATTAAATGCTATCGTTTCAAGTGATATGATAAATCGTTCCCCAGAGCGAGAATTCAATCGCGAATCCCCACGCGCAATGCTTTTTGGCTCACACTTAGGCGATGGAGGTCCCTTCACTAACAATTGGACTGTCTTATTGTTAGAAATAAAAAGGCTCCCAGCGCAAGATTAGCAGAAATGCATAAAGTCTTCTCGTGAATATAGTCGATATAGCGAAACAGTCGTAGTTGCGCTTAGTATTCCATGTAATCAAGCCGACCGAGGATTTCCTAGAACAAATATTATTGCTGTGAGCGTCAAGTCGTTGAAGTGTACTTGAAAGATAGTTGATCTAGGAAGTGCGCCACAGTATAACATCAAGAGCTGAGTTACCAGAATCTGCTCGTGCACTACCTTCAACCTCATAACATTACTTGCAAACAGTAGTATGTTTTTTCCGCCGAATAAGTTCCTGCAACGATTTACACTCGCTCTTCGTTAATCTGTTTTGTACGAACTCAAACAATAACTGAATTTGCATGAACTATGAACAAGCAACAGCGAAACTTGTTCCTGCTGTCTGTATTCACTGAAACATCGATACTGAGTTCCTGCTGGAAAAGGAGAGTTCCCCTGTCGGTTGAAAATTGCACTAACGCTGACATATGTACCTTGTTTTTTGTCACTACGTATTCATTTGCGCCAGTATTAACATTTGCAATACGACGATCAAACTTTACGCAAAAAGCTTGCGTGATTTGGAAGTGTACGAACCAGACAGCTTTCGCTTGCACGCCGTGAAAATGCACACAAACTGCGCCACTGTACTTCGTTGATTGAATTCCTTTCGGCGGTTCACAGTTGGAAGCTATTGAGTTCGTATTCAGCTTCATTTCTTTGTCCCCATTTTATTGTAAAAGAAGAATGGATCTTGCATACTATCCAATGTATACTTGGCTTGACGATTTGTGAGCAACATCTCTGACATTTTGCTTCATAGAACGTTACGAACCGATGTCGCCACTTTTCTCACAAGTCATAGCCCTCTTTTCCATTGTTTTCAGACGGTGACTTTTCTTCTACTTCCTGGACAAGATTATCCGCTCGAATTCTGAGTTTGTGAAGTTCGACGGTGCTTTTATCGTCGAATTCCTTCATTACATGAGTCCTTTTAAAGTTGCCCTGGTTATCGTTAGCAAGCTCTAAGTCTCTATATAAGCACTCCCTTGTCGAGCATATTGTTATCGGCATGCTGTTAATCGAATAATGCACCAGACGTACACATGCTCTCCATAAAACCCCGCATTTGTACTAGTTTGGAGAGTATTCGGTCTTAGTCTTGGGTGTTATAACCACTCCACTCTTTGCATAAAAATTGTGCTGTACTTGCAGCAAAGTAGAGTAACTCGTAGTTTTTGTCTGAGAACTGAACTTTGACGTTTACCACATCCCATACCTTGGATAACAAAGTAGTGGCTTCTGCAAAAAAAGCCTGTATATATTTCCTGCTGTAACGGAAGTTGTGCGAACCAGCGGAAATAACTAATAAGCATTTTAGAAACGTAGAGTTGACATACTTCTTTAGAAGGTTTCGTTAGTTAGAATTAATCATTAGCACTTCTGCTTTGACATTATCAGATGTTATTGAGCACGCACTTTGCAACTCAAGCTGCAATTTCATGTTGCCTATGGCGCGATTTACTGCTTTCGAGCACAGATGTTCAGATGGAGGACGCGGGTTGCGAGACGGCCTCGTTTATGAATAAATTTGAGAAGATGAATAGAGTAAGCCATTGAGTACAGCGAGTCGTTTTTGTATGGAGGAGACCGCAATCTTATTTGACTTATTGTTAGAAAATTAAGACATTTATCGCCTACTATTTCCAAAAAGCTTCGAAAAGCAATTTCTAGAAAAGCAAGAAGAATAATAGGCCGAAAGCTACATATTATATGGCGTGTGTTTTATATGCTCCGTTTCTATTCAACGGCTCTGGTTTTTTCGAGGCTGACTACTCGAGATAACGGTCTCTAGGGTACCACGGTATGAGTGATTGGTGCGGTGGCGCGAACAGCGAACAGATTGTAGTCAGGATATCGGCCAAGGCGCATCCGAACGCGTAACAGAACCATTAAGAAGAATAATCAATCGTACAGTCTTTGGCACTACTTAATCCCTCGGCAGTCATGATATCATGATTTTGCTTGCATGTGCTCAATTTTCGCTGCGTTGCTGGTATATTTTTGTGGGATTGAAAAGGCCTAACAAATCATACTTGGATAATACCATTTTACACTTATCGTACGGGCTATAATATCTACTTTTGCGATATATGACCGCCTCTTATTCACTTTTCAGTCCATAACTCAAAAGTGATTATCATTTTCACGGAAATCTTATATATAACGCTGAATGTCTGTTTTTCTGTATGTCTGTCTGTACGTATGTTTCGAATAGAAAATTCCATTTCTGAACCGATCGGGACCAAACTTGGCACACATACACCTCGGGCCCCGGCGGATGTCATAGGCTACTTTTCGTCATCGATATCGATTTTATCGATTTTTTGCAAAATTTGAGTTACGGGGCTGGGAATTGGTACAGGGGGGGGGGTAATCGAGCATGCTGATTACGAATAAAATAATGACAGGGCCGGGCGGAGCCGGGTAAGCCATCTAGTGTTTAGTATTATGATGATTTTGCATTCGTTTTTGAGGGTCTACTTTTCAAAAAGCTGACAATTTTTGTTTTTACAGTTATTTAGATCGAAGTTGTGATTGAATAATTGACTAACGTCCATCACAACTTCCTTGTCAATAGACATCCTACTCTATTATCATTTAACCAAAGCATAACGTGAAGGTGCTTCAACGATTGGCTACGCATTAGCTTGAAGTCATAACTTATTGACAAAGTACTCAGCATTAATCACGAGTAATGAGTACTGACAGCGTTTAATACTCTCTTGTTCCTAAATGTCTTTATTGTGTAACTTTTCCACTTCCCGCCTCAAAAATCGTTTCTCTCGTTGTGTGCCATCATGTTGATTTTGAGACTTCGCACTTGCGAACTTTTTAGGAGGGATGTCAGAACGACGTATTGACGTGAATCGCAGCAACTACTCAGTTATTGACAATGAGTTTGGCAATATGAGAGATCGATTTGAAGCAGAGATGCGACGTGTAGAGGATGAAATGAAGCGCCTTCGCCAAGAATTCGAAGGTATGTTTATGTGCTGCACGCTAAATAAAATTGACCTTTTCGATGGAAAAGCGCTAAATTGTGTCGATTTTTCTATCTGAAAATGAGTTTCGAAAGTGCATTGATGTATGTCTCTTACGCTTATTGGATAATCTCTCAGTGGATCTTCATTGAATAATTAGCCTAGCTTCTACTTTGTACTCTGATTCAGTTTTTATCTCTAGACCACAGCTTCATCATGCGCTTAGGCCAGTGAAAAGGAAGGCTCTTAATCTTGCATTTTTTAACAAATTCGATGCTACGTGCGCATGTTGTACAAGCTTGTCTAAAACTTCTTCTACTACAGAATAGAAGCGAGCCTTGAGTTCACTTTGTCGTTAGTTGTTGTACTTGGAGAGTAATTGCGTCTAATTAGTAGTGATTTATTCATTGCCTAGCACGAATGCTCGCCTCGAACGTCACCTATTGATGCTTTTGAAGTTTATTCGTCTTGCAGGAAGTTGTACCGTTGATTCATATCGCAATCTACAATCGTACACACTGACGTAGCGCGAACAACGCGGTGCTACCGAAGCGAGAGAAACAAAAACTTCCATGTTTGTCTGAACCAGTCTATCTGCAGTACTAGTATCAGAAAGGCCTCACCGCTGCACAGTTTGTAAACGAGTTCTGAAAATTGATATGTCAGTACTCGAACTCTGATATTCTTATTAGTCAAAGCGCACTTTTTGTGTACAGTTCTTTTTCAGGAATATATTTTTCAGTAGGTTTGTACTGTATCTTTTTATTGGCTAGGAAGCAGTCTCTCTTAGCGAGCTATCTCATTTGCATATCTCTAACATACCAAAAAATCAAATCAAAGAAGGAACATTGATGACATCAGAGAAGAGTTCAAATACGGGACTGATTAGTTGGTGAAAAGCTGAGAGAATGGGCACTTTCGAAGCGGTTACTGCTGCTCGAATTACGACGTTCTAAACCTATGGTTAAAAGCACGACTTTTTCCTTCAGGCTATAGGCCGGGGGCACCTCCACCAGCTATATCCAATCAAGCGTATAATATGTCACATTCTTCGCAGCACGATTCGCGTCGACAGGATTTCGGAGCGCCACCGTCGTCTTTTGGTACGTTCAGTATCGGTTTCAAATTTCGCTCTCAACACTCCCTTATTTAGGCCACTCTGATTTGATGACACGCCCCACATACGACCCCTATTTGGACAATCTCAAGAGTCCTTTAATTAAGGATGAAAGTGATGGAAAAACCCTTAGGCTAAGGTTTGATATTCTACTATAGTTGAAGTTATATGTGCATACTGAAAACATTATTTAAAGATTCGATGTTGCTCAGTACAAGCCTGAGGAGGTGACGGTGAAAACAATCGACAATCGACTCCTTGTTCACGCCAAACACGAGGAAAAGACGCCACAGCGTACTGTTTTTAGAGAATACAATCAGGTGAGTGTGTTTTCATCTGTCATACTAACGCGTTATTTTAACTTTTGCTCTGTCTTTTTCTTTTCACATGCTTCTCGCCCGTTTTATTGTCATATGCTCTCCAAAGCTGCGACAAAGATTTTTGTTTGCTTTTGTTTCCATATGTCGCAAATCTGTTTGCACAGGACATACTAAATTACGAGCCGTAAAACTTATCTTCCAATTTGCACGTAAAATTGCTTTCTGGACCATGATTCAAGGACGGCGAATGTGCCTCTGTTTCTACCTTTTTCCACTGAGCAGTCTTACTATAAAAGTGAGTCAGATAGCTGACCAACTCACTCAGCTCGGTGTTCTCTGAGTAACCTTATTATCTCACTTTAAGTTCGCTGATGAATTATATGAAGAAACAGCTTTCACATATTTTGCTGAATAGGCTTCAGCCTTAATCTTCCTGTTTCTTTTTGATGTTGGCAGTGAATGTTTCACTTTGAAGGCCGTCAGAGATGCCTTTGTGCTCCTTGTTGTTTCGGACTCAGTCGCAAAGCAAGAGTATTATAGAGTTTTTTAAATGTGTTTTTGCTTCTTTGGACTCAGGCGCAAACCGTTGTCATCTTTTCATCAAAGCTGTGGAGCAAAATCACCAAATTTCATGAATAGACAAAGCTATACAAATCTCTTTTACAACTTATTTATAGGGCTTCGTTTTTGGTAGTGCTTTGAATTTCACGGTCACATTGGTCATTGAACGGATTTTCTAGGAATTCCTTCTTCCTCGTGGAACGAATCCAGAGCAGATTTCTTCGACTCTTTCTACTGATGGTGTTCTTACTGTTGAGGCTCCTCTACCACATTTAGCTATTCAGCAATAAATTAGCTGCGCCTGACCGAGAATCCTTGAGAAGATCATCGAATTGAAAACTTGACCAGTTTTTGAAGCTTGGTATCTTCCGTTAGATCGATGCTTGCTATAGAGATACATCTGTTTGTCATAAGAATTCATTGTATAATATACCGCTAACTTTGTCAGTGAATATGGCAGGACGCCGCAATACACTCAACTAGTTTGCGTGTGCTTGTTTACATCATTGCATAAATGAATACTTATTTGATACCGTAAGTACTCTTTTTTGTGTAAGATTTTCCGTGAGGTATGAACGGAATTAACTAGCTATTATTCATGACTCTGTCCACATTAGTAATATGCCCAGCAATTGATAACTTCACGTTCTATTTTTTCTCGTGTGAAGAATACAATTGAAATTGAACATTCTAAACAACATGAGTAATGCACATGGTGACTTACAGAATTACGAGTGATTATAAAACTGCACTATGCGTATCAATTGCTCATTTATCTGAACATGCAGTTCAAGCATAGGCGTCGTGTTGTCAGTATCAAAAGCAGTATTTGGAAGGTTTGTATTGAAATTCCGCAGTTCATGATAAAAGCTTCACCGTCCCACCTCTCAACTCATCTGCTCTTCAGCAAAGACCATCAAGTTATCCGGAGACGCTGTAAGCTAGACATGTGCTTATCATATACTTCCGCGCCTCCCAATATCCCCTTATGATGGGGCGAGACGATGTGAAGGTGACGCTATGGTCGTGATCCAAAGACGCGCGATCGCACCATCATGTCTGGACAAAGTAGAACGGCGCCTCTAGGCTCTCCATTCATGGACTACTGCTCTCTTCAGATTTGCTGTTGCAGTGTGAGGACCAAAAGTCCAAAAGGCAGCGCCTAATGAGAAACTACCTCCCTCTACCCTGCGACATCTTTCGTGGTGGTGGCAGCCGCGCACATGGTTAGGTGGGCGTTAGACTTATCCGGTTCAATCGTTTCATACGGGTTATTCCTCCAACATTGAATTGACCAATAGCGAACGGGTCAACTAGAATATACCGGTTGAACCGGATAGACCTTGCCTGCCGTAGCAGTGAGTTGGTCCCGTTGAAGACACCACGAGTAACAATCAGGCCAGCTGAGGACGGCAGAGGTGAGCTGCTGGCAGTTTTTAAGATGTGATGAATGGCGACGACCTCAGATCTCGGTGCAAGAAAAATGCTCTTAATATAATGTTCGGTAGCAGAACAAGGAGTTGGGTGGATGTTGGTTATGTCCCTGATAAAATCTACCCGCAGCCATGACATGTGCGACTTAACACAAGGTAGTACGGCGATTGTCCTCGCTTGCAGACTACATCTTCGTCATAGCTTATGCCCGATTAGAGTGTGGCTTGTACAACTCTCCACGCGATGCGGTAGGGCCGGAGTAGGCGGAGCTTCAATTTGCCTGCGTTGGTACTACGCCAGAGCTTGGCGCCATGTTCGCGGATGTATAGCCCCATTTAATTCAGCCTCATCGATCAAGTTTGGCAAGGGCTGACGCGTCGCGTATGCGTTATGACTACCCTGAAGGGAGTATAGTTCATTCGTTGACTGCACGGATTGGACATCACTACGGAGCACGTGCCGCGAGGTAGAACGCTTGCCCCAGTACAAATTCGCCATTGTACAAGTCGTGCTCTCGCAACATTTCAGCCGCTCCGCGTGTAGTCCGCAGCGTTTGAGCAGTCCGTGAGGCCAACGAATCGACGATACGTATCTTCCAAGTTTGCTTCTTTGTTGCCTTTTTCTCGATTGTTACACTTCTTAAACACCAATGAAAGCAAAGGGGTTCTAAATGATGTACGGCTGTTGGCGATTAAGGTAATCCAACATTTAGCGTGCCCTGTGCATGTCGTGCATGATTGCACATGATGAATTACAAATTAGACAATACAAACTAGTTGCACAAATCAATAGCAACAGTGCATTTCCTCCCAAATAGCTATGAATGGAAATCCTGGCCTATTGTTGGACTGCCTCAAATGCCGAGTCACATGGTGCAGTTGCGCCAACACGCAAGTTCTTGGTTTGCTACGAAATGCAGTGAAATTTGAACTTTACCTAAGCAAATATTTACTCAGCGTTACATTCTCATTTTTTTTTGCCCAAACATACGAGAATATGGAACTATAGTGCAACTGCACGATGGAATAAAAACCCGTTATAAATGAAGAGCTTGCATTACATGGCTTGAGGGCACCGTCCACCCTAAGTTAAGGGTCTTGAGCTTTTGGCAGCATATGAAGTAGGGCCCCCTATCAAACCATTGCCTAAGCCGCAGCGCAAAATGTCGCTTTCGACGCGAGAAAATCGCTCCTTAATAGCGAAGTTGCATGAGGACCCCAAGTCGGCACCGCCCCCCTTTAGTAGTGCCCGCCCTGTCATGCGCGCCCATTCAATCACCGTTTCGGGAAGCCGGCCTGTGGGTTCTTGGAAATGGGGATTGTCGGGGCTTTCGCGGGTTCTGGACTTCATGTTTGGAATCAGGGACATGGGAAGTCCGAACGACTAGAACATGGAAGTCGAGAATCTGGGTGGACGGTGCCTTTAAGATCCAGACGAGTCACTTGCCCAGTGATGAATATGAGTGCCTTTGTTTCGTTTCGCTGAACATGAACAAATCCGTGAAGTAAATATAATAACTTTATGATATAATTCTGACAACATCGGTGTTTCAGTAAACGATATCATGAAATGGGAGCTGACTAGATTTAATCGACATCTACGGTACAACCAGATGGAAGAAGCTACACATCAGGAAACCAACTTTCCAGGACAACCTTTAGCTTTGCACATTGTTACGACCAATCACAGAGCAAATAGAGTTAGTTGCCAAGATGAAATGTGGCACATCCTAAATACAATTACTGCTTCACCCATAAATGGAACTGAGTTGTTAAGTGAAACTGATAAAGAAGATGTTTTCTCTCATCATAGACTGCCAAGTTTCAAGTATGGAACAAACTGCTAGATTCTGAAAGACTAGCCTAGAGATGTTCGCTGTATGTTTTCGTCTACTATCAGAAATGCAGCTTGAGAACTTGATTTGCATAAGTCAAAAATTCTGCCTTTGGCGATTCGTCATTTCACTGTCACTGTCATCAATCTAACAATAAGTGTTTGTTATGATTGCGATGACGGAGTAGAACTAGTGTAACAAACCAGATACTGAAGTGTAGAGCTGATGAGGAACTCATAATAAGAGCTAGATAGTCCTACTGAAGAAGGGATCACAATATTGAATCATCCAGATGAGCATCACAACTTATAAGGAATGAGAATAATAAATTACTAAAGTATGCGAGACGAATCACAGCTCGGACGTTTACGTTAAAATAAAAACAAAGCGTGCAGAACTCACGGAATGAGCGAAAAAGCTAGGGCAACAGGCTGAAAAGTATTTCATTGACGACAAAATTGTAATTGCAAATCGTAACTATCTAAAATTCATACCTTATGATCTCCCGTGCAAACATCCCTTCCAAAGGATGAATAGGTTGGACTCCCTTTCTTCACAAGCTCAAAGGCACTGTCGTTCATCAGCACACGATCGCACCAAGCAGGAGCTCTCGTTTTCATCATCACTTCCGACTCATCTGGATCCTCACTCCAAGGGTAGCTGAAAAGTGCGAGCATTTATAAGCTATTCTAAAAAGTCAAACTTGAACAAGCAATACGAATGTGATTCAACTTCTCAATCACTCCACCTATTTCGCTGGAGCAAACTAGCGATTAAGTTCAAAATCTCTGCTAGCTATCACATATATGTCAGATACTCTAAGATTACACATGAAAATATAGGAGATTGATTCTTTTTCGGTTGATCGCTGGTAGAGGCAATGAAAGTCATACGGCAAGACAGTACGAAGAAGTGAGCTTTCTAAGAGAAGTATCTAAGCGTATGATAAAATTTCCATGAAGCAAATATAAGTTTTGCGTCTTCCAGCAGTAACATTCACACAAAGCATAACTCACGTCGGGGGAAAATTAATCGGGAGTTCGTGCAACTGAGTGAACTTGCTAGGTTCCCGATCGTCTTCCAAATACGACTTCCAGTCATCAAGTAATTTCTTCTGATTGAAATAGTCAAATCGCTTCTTTTCAATCCGAAGGACGCATCTGCAATTCATGTAACGATAAAGAATGTGAACGGAAAATGAAGGTTGACTAAAAAATAACTCCCCAACTAACCCTGCTCTGATATCGCTTAACGATGCGCGTCGAAATTCTATGGCTGACACAGTTCGTCGCAGTGTTTCCGTCGTGGTTGTACTATTTTCGCATAGAAGACCATCTGCAACCGATCCATGTGGTTCCTCCAGTGGATGAGCCGAAGCTTTTTCTGTCAAGCGCTGCAAACATTACTGAAGGATGACCGAACCAAAAGCACGCATATCAAGAAGTAAGTAAAACGCTTGTTTGATAGGAAACGTAATATAAAAGAGCTAAAAGTCGATACAAACGCGCAAAGATATGACATATGCATAGTACATCTGTGCTGACTTCTATACCTTCCTGGTTTCGAAGCAATGATCAGCAAGTTTTTGTGTCATTTCCACCTAGTCGTCTATGCTTGATCGAAGACTAGTGCCCAGGCTTTTAAGTATTCGCTTATTACGAACACGGTTATCAAAAAACCTCTACAAAAAAGTGAAGACATTTGAATGAAGTGGTAACTCAAGAAACTAATTAGACTGATTCCTCTAATTGAAAAGAAAGCCCAAAAGTCGCTAAGGATATACAACTTGCAGAATGATAAGCTCACAATCCAAAAAAAATTTTATGGAAGTACATTCATAGCATCAGATCTTCCAAAAAAAGGAAAAGGCAGCTGCCTGCAAAAGCACGTGATCAGAGCGGAGTCAAAAAAGGCTCTTTGGAATCAGTCCTTTTCTTAGCTAAGGGATCATACTATATGAGAGATGCTCAGTGCTGAATCTAGCACCCAAAATCTGTCGGGACCCCTCCACATTATTGGAGGTATGAAGCAGTTGTTGGATGAAAACAGATAAAAAAACATTCAGTAAATTAAGGCCACTCACATTCAAGAATGAGGTCGAATCGAGACGGAAATTGAAGTCTCCGAAAACGAAACAATGGGAGGAGGTCCATGTTCCGGAAGAAGAAAGCTGTTCCAACACATAATTGAGTGCTCTTTTACGATTTGTACTATATAAGAATGGGTTCTGAAAAACAGAACAAGATTTCTACTGTCAACTCCCGTAGCACATACGTAACAAACTTATCGAACCTCGTGAATTAATGCTAAGTTGGACTCGTCATGGAAAAGGTGAACGTTGACAAAGTCTAGCACTCTAAAACTATTCATTGTACAACGAAATTCAGTATAAGGAGAGATAGTGTTACTTTATGTGGCGCCGTTAGCAACCAAATAAAAATACGACTGTGATACAGAAAAAAAATTAATAACAAATCCTTAAAACTCACATGTTGTTCAACCTCCAACGTGTTTGCATGTATCCTTTTCGTCCCCATTTAAATGTAGGCCAGAAATCCTTCGGGAATTTCTTTTTTATGATCAGCGGAGAGCTGTCCAACTCATCGGTCCAACCAACTATAGTGGTGCCCTTCACAACAGGTGAATACGAGCATGTTTTGAAATTGTATTGTGACATCGAACCGATGCAGCTGGACTTAACGAGGATGACATTCCCCAAAGCCTGAAACCACAAACTCTAATTACTATTCTCAAGATCGAGAGAAACTTACTGTGAAATTGGGTCCCGTATGGTCCAGATCCAGATATGCTTGAACTGTGGGGTACATAGGCACCCGAGTTGCTAATTCATCGATAAGTTTTGGAACTTGCCAAGCACATTCCGCGTAACTGAAAGCGACGCAACTCAGGAAAAGCAAAAGCAGACCGCGCTTAATTGTTAGCTGGAAAGGAAGGACAATGATTGCCATCAAGAGATTTTCGCAACACTGTATTATGGAAATGAAACCAAAATAAACTGTACAAAAGATCGCTGAAGGCAGCCGATAGTGTGCGCGCGACATAAAGGAAATCGAAATATCTTAACATGTGAATAGACTATTTAGAGAAGAATAGTATAGTTGAGCACTCATAGCATATTCGAAAATTCCCGAGCTATTCACATAGATTTGTTTTGAGATCTATTATCTTTTCACATGGTTTAACGACAGTATGATTCAGCATGTATGCTTCCGCATTATAAACAAAGCAAGCAGCATCAGTCCCAATAAAAAACGTTGTCATCACGAGGAAATTAATGAGTTAACATTATCAAATATATGGAAATAGAGGCGAAAGAGTTAATGAGGTAGAGGGAAGCTTGGGCCATCAACGCGGCTTCTCAATTCGAAGTGTCGAGAACTATGTGAAGCAATGGATAAATGGCTGATTAGAGCGTACAAGGAATGACCAACTGTTTTCCTCCGGTTTCTTGCATATGAATGACCACTATCTCAGCCATCTCATCGTTAATCCGCTAGAAAACAAACCCTCAAGATGAAAATATAAAAAAATTAAACGAAAAAACAACCTTCGTGAAAGTTCGTAACCAAGCGTCTTGTAGACGGCGATCCTGTTCGAATAATGATCCAACATTTACCGTGATCAGCAATACCCTTCCTACTTGGGTTGCCATGTGCTAATAGTGTCGAATCGTACTTGAATATTCACTGAGAAACAATTTATTAGAAGGGTACTGGTGCATAAGCAAGAAACGACGATGACAATAGGAAAATACATGAACGAGCGCTGCAGATTTTCAAAAAGTACTCTATTGGCTGATCGATAAATGTCTCCACGTTCCCAATTTCAGTTAAAAAGCTTTTGACTTGAGAAACAAGGTAAGGTAGAGAGTTCGAATTTCAGATCAGGTCCGATATCCTCGACAAAGTCAAAGATAACGCATTTTACACAAAAAAGTCCTTCCTAGTGAAAACAAAAGCAAAGGCTTTAACTTTAGTGGGGATTTATGGCATATCTCGAGAAATGGAAAGTGCAGAGCAAATGTTGTGAATCGCAAACGGGCACCACTAACTATGAGAATGCCAATAAAATAACTGGAACGACCGCCACGATGATGACGCAGTATAACAATAGCCGATAAATTTACATGCACTAAAAGCCCATAGAATTTTTCAACCGTTAATAACGTAAAGAGCGCTAGAAATGTAGTTCTAGCCCTGCATCACAGATCTTCGCATTAGGGCACGCAAGGCAAACTGGAGCACCGCTGACGAGGCGAGTGAACTAGTTTGCGTGGGATTCATGTGGAAAGAATATTCTTCAAGAGAATGATGCTATCCGTCTATCGATCGTCTTTGCTAGAGGTCTATAATTGTGAGACGGTTCATATAAAGTGCACGTAAAACTGCTAGTTGCAGCTGATTATGAGTCATCTAAACATATCCTGAGAATGTTTATTGAATCGAGCTGCGAGATTCCTAACCCACAATCCCCGCTATTTTCAACGCTTCAAGTTCCAATTCCAGGTGGTATCTAGGAGGTATAGACGGTATCTATTTCGACGCAATTCAACCGCAATATAACAATATAACGAGTTTTTTTACATGTCGCATTATTCACGATATGGATTCGCTTTCAAGAAAAAGGGCATTTCCTGCTAAGCTTTCTATATTCAAGAACATTTTGAAGGATTATTTGCAGTCCGATAGTTGATGTTGTTGCTAACACGGTTCGATGTTGTTATTCAAGGTATATCACTTCACTTGATATTGTTTCGTTGTTTTTTTTGTTTTCTTTGACTGTTATTTGTTGGTTACCTGACATGGGTCCCCCCATGTAATAAATGATGAAATGAAATATAACCCAGGTGGTTGTTGAGTGAATTGATGTCACGTCACCACCGTGCATATATAACGGTGTGGCGAAACGGGAAAATCTGCAAAAAAATCGAAAAAGTAGAAGAGTTAAGAAATTGTTGAAGAACTCCAAATCGGATTTAGAATTACATTGAGAGTCAAACGTGGCCTTGTTGCATGCTTGCAAAACTAAAGTGCAAATCACATAGAGTCGTACTAGCACTAATTTGTTCGGTGCTATTTTGACCACTTATTATGCCTGATTTTGGGAGAATTCATTCTAGATAAAGAGAAATAACAGATTCGGTGACTGTCAGCGATGCACAAATTTTTCCTTCCAAAATACTTCGAAGGGTGCTCTAGTCTCCACCGCCTGCTGTGCGTCCCTCATCGATAAAATGTAATGGAAATTGGGCGCAGATGCGACTTGAAAAGAAGAATGATCATGTGATGTCACGCCTATTTTTGGCAGCCCAGCCCCTCTCTCCCGCCACCAGCTTCTCCGAGCTCAATCTAAAGGCTTTGTGAATGCTAACGTAGGTAGGAGCATTTTCCTTTATCTGACCGCACATCAAATGATACGCTATCTATCCGTGGTGTGTGGGATTGCTAATCGATCAGATTTTTATACGTATTCTTCCAAACAAAGAGTAGATACATTCTTAATTCATTTAAATCAACACAACTAGAATCAATTGAGAAATGGTGTCAACAATGCCAAATCTAGCTTGTTCTGCTGATGTTATATTATACACCAGAACGAATCTGCCTCTATCACAGTCATAATAGCAAGAAAAATGTACAAAGCCGTCAATAAGTGAAGGATCATTTCATACGTTGAGGTCGAAATGCGGTGGAATTCTTGCAACCATCTGATAATCAAAATATAGCGTGCCATTGACCATTGTAACAGTACGACCCTCTGCCTGAATGGAACATTGTCTTCTAGCAAATTGTACAGTCAATGTCAATCACGTACATACTCCATTTCGCATGGGAACTGCGCATGCGCAACGCAAGGGCCCTGCGTGCGGACCTCCAATCGATGAGGCCAATTTAAGTGGCCGAGCCATACGCGCGCGAACGCGGCGCGAAGCTGATTGCGCTTACGGAGAAAGGGGCACGTGATTGATACGGACCATATGTACGATCTGTGTCAACAATGTGCTCGCTTTTCAATCAGCATGCGCAACGCCAAAGCCACGCGCCGCGTTTGCGGAAGTACCGTTCGAGTGTTCAAAATTGCTGCTCGATCGGAGATCGTGCGCAATGTCCACACGCTGCGGATGTAGTTGCTACGCAAAAGGGAGCACGTGTTGAAACAGACTGTAGATCGACGGTGGTACTCACTTTTGCTTTCCTGATCTGAGCATGTAAGGAGGCAAGATCGGGAGCAGGAGCACCGACGAAAGCACCCGCGTTTTGCATCATTATAGCGACACCCATCCCCACACCCATCGATCTGCAAGAAAATAAAGAATAACCGCTTCTTCACGTGTTTCATTTAGTGCATATATTTCGTGTTATATGATCCAGGAGCAAAAACCGGTTAGAAGTCGCGTTGTCTGTGAAATGTATCACGGTACAGTCGAGTAGATTTTCCGCTTAAAGGCATTGTCCAGGTCATTTGGAGGGTTTTGGGATTCTGACACAGTGCGGGAGCACAGCTCTTGACTAAGGCAACAGTTCAAGTCCGACTGAACAAGTTGGATTGTGAAGCGAGAAAATCGCTCCGGAAAAAAGGGGCGTTCCGTCAATCCCGCCTCCTTGACAAGTTTTGACGTGGCGAATGCTGTAGATTCAACGTATCAACCACCGTAAAACTTGTCAAGGAGGCGGGATTGGCGGAACGCCCCTTTTTTCCGGAGCGGTTTTCTCACTTCAGAATCCAACTTTTTCAATCGGACTTGAACTGTTGTATTAGCCAGGGGCCGTGCTCCCGCACTATGTCAAAATCCCAAAACCCTCCAATTGGCCTGGACAATGCCTTTAATATAGTGTGTTTGCACAGAAGGTGAAATGCGGTAAAATTCGCGCGTGAGTAAATAGCTTCGACTATGGCACCCGCCATACTTGATCCGCTTAATCCACTTGATCCGCTTGATCCGCTTCGTCATTGGTCGATTCAGTTAATTGAGCAATAGCGAAGCGGTTGTCCGCTTGAACCGCTTGATTCACTTCATCCACTTCACTATTGGTCAGTTCACTGAATTGGCCAATGGTGAAGCGGATCAAGCGGATCAAGTGGATTAAGCGGATCAAGTATGGCGGGTGCCTATGACGCCGGCCAATTACGCGCGCAAAATGCCGGGAGTGCTGGCGCAGCTACCTGTTCACGCCCAAAATTTACCGCGTTTCATAAACTGTGAAGCACACTATATTAAAAGGAAAATACTCGACTTAGTCATTCTTCCAATAGGAGACTTGTGTAATTGCACCACTGTGCGAATTTGTACCGGTAATCACAACTTCAAGTAGTACAAGATCTTTTCCTACTTTTTGCACTCCTCTTCATAGTCCTTGTTCGTTGTCTCCTCTTTTCTGAATCATTATTGTGACCAGGAATTGACCTGCTTTGGCGCAATAGTAAAGTGATGCAGTTGCAAGAAACAAGTGTAAGGATGACGGACCTATATACAGTCGAGCAGATTTTCCTGTAGTGTGTTTGCACTGCAGGTGAAATGCGGTAAAATTTGCACGAGAAGAAATATGGTAAGTTTCAACTCAGTTTAGGCAGAAAATGGACTGGCGGGAATTTGCTTCGCAGCGATTCGCGCCTCTTTGCGGTCTGCGTCTCTTCATTCCAATCTATCTCGCTGAGCCAGCGCGGTGCGGGCGTGTTGCTCCACCTGGAACGTTTCGCCTACTCCGGGTTGAAAAAGACTGTAGCAACGCCAGTGATGCCGTGATTTTGCGCGCGCAGTTGGCCGGCGTCATACAGTCTGCCCCAATCGGGATCAGGCCGAACCGTCGGCTAAATTTGCGCGCTCGCAGCGCTGGGGGATTGCGCTGCATACGCGCGCTGTCGCAGAGAGTGAAGAGATCGAGGAGAGAGCAGACTAGCTAGCCGCAGATGTGGCGCGAAACCCTTGCGGCGCGGACTCCCGCCATGCCGATTTTGGCCTGGTTAGGATTGGGGCAGACTGTAGGCGTAGCTATTTATTCACGCGTAAACTTTACCGCATTTTACCCGCAGTGCAAGCACACTATCTTAAGCGGAAAATCTACTCGAGTGTACGTCGACCGATACATATTTAACATTTCTTTTTGAAAACTAAAAGATCACAGTAAAGTAATCGAGCATATTGATCAGCTATACGGAATGCGGTTAAAGACATGTAGGATTTTTTGGCGTGCAATGACTTTGACAGCAAAAAGTATCTGGATCTCAACAAAGTAACCTCTTCTTTAATCGATGTAATACGCCATACAGGGTGTCCCAAAAAGATGTGCACACTGTTTGATTGTAAATAACTCTTTTGTGGTGAAGTGTTTCGGGGAGCTTTAGGTACCATTTTGTAGAGCGAGGTTCAACTTAGATTTACAGTGTAGAGCGGATCGCCGATCTCTCATTCTTACTGTAGGATTACGGTAGAAACTTTGAAGAGGGTTTTGAGCCATGAAAGGCCATATTTTGTTCCAAAAAGAAACCAAAACAACCTGAAAACTCTCACACTGGGCTAGCTAGAGTTACTGATTCTAAATGTGAAGTTCGCAACTCTTCCTAATGCTTCATTAAAAAGTTATGCGAGGTAAGCAGTAGCAGACGGTTTTTAAGTGTTCCTAAAAAGTGCGGTTACACCGTTTAGAAAGCTTTTCAACCTTGTAAAGAGTTGGGTATTGAACTCAGGGTCCATAAAAACCCTATTACACAAACTTTCACATTTTTCTGAAAATTTTTGAAACGGCCCCTTTTTTCGCAGTGACACCATATGTTCGAAGTTTCTACCGTACTCCTACAGTAAGAATGAACGATCGGCGATTCGCTCTACACTGTAAATCTAAGTTGGTCCTCGCTCTACAAAATGGTACCTAAATCTTCTCGAAACACTTCACTATAAGAGAGTTATTTACAATCAAACAGTGTGCACATCTTTTTGGGACACCCTGTATATGCGCCCGCTGTGATGATAAATACGGATTGAGTTCTATGCAAGCTTAACCTTCACAAGGCAAAAAAATGGAAGCATCCTTTTGATTTTTCGAACTTATGGGCAGCACGTCACTGCATATCATCTGAAAGAGCTTATATGCAAGGTAGACACACAATCAAAACGTGGGAATGCATTGAGGACAGAGACGCTAGGGCGTACGCAATGACGTCTCTTCCTTATGTCGATTTGATCACCTATATCATTTAATGGCTATATTGATAGAGTCAATAACTACCGAACAGCAGAAGTGTTTGGGATGTAGCTCAAAATTTAGCATTAACACGCACGTTAACACTCCGAAGCACTCTTAGATCATAAATTTCCCCTAGGCAGTCAATACGTAAGGATTTCGTCTTCTTTAAGAATGCAGCTTTTCAAATGCAACTTCGACATGAATCTAATTTCTCCCTCACGCGCCTATACATACTGCAAGAGAGAAAAGATTTCGAGTTAAACATATAAGATATGAGATGAACAACCTTAGAGTTTGTACGGTAAGTTCCGCAATCGGGTCCGACAAAATGTGAATGTTTGAACTTTTGGAAGCGAAGTCCATTAGAATTCACAAGAACTTATGAGACCCCTCTAATATAGAGAGAGCCCCTATCATTTGCATAATAACGGTAGTCCAGTGTGAGAAAACCAAAGCGAAGCAAAAAAAAAACTCAGCGAAATTCAACAAGTGTGACATCATAACGACAAGTTCAAATTCTAACGTTTTAGCGAAACTCGAAAACTAGGTACACTAGCGGATGCTGCCACTTTAGCTTTGATGGATGAAATGCTTGCAAGGAGGTAGGAGAAATGCAAGAATGAAGAATTATGGCAATGTATGCATGTAAATGTGTTCGAATTTCCCGCGCTGGCAACATTACTGTGAAGTATATACCTAATAGTCTCGTCTGCTAAATTTCTTTTTCGGGGACATATTATCAAACTTTATCTTGCGAGGCTTCCATTTTCTTATTAGCAAGACGATACTCAAAGTGCGCAAGCGTTACCTTAACCTTGGAACCACAAATTCAATTATGAAGTCAAAAAGCCTAGCCGATATTTGTTTGATATAAGTTCTCTTTTTCTGTGTAGCACGTTTACATTTTGTTGACGGTTATTCCGCAACTGACACCCGTTAAAAGTTTCATCGTATTAGTACAAATTTGTACTGTGAAATTTTTTCTGAGTCTATTCAAGGGGCCTTTGAAACATTGTTAACGCACATGCATGTACATTCTGTGAAAAAAGGGACAAAACTTACGACTGCCTTCTTTTTCGATTATCTTCGAAAGCTGATCCGTGTTCTGTGGAAGAGAAACAACTCCCCATCAAATTGTATGTTGAACAATGTGTAGGTTGTGTAGTTGTTAACAATTCTAGAAAAACAAATAAATCATTGAATTCACTCCGATAGATGGACAAAGTCAACTATAAAGGAATGGTTAGAGTTTCATAGAAAGTTTGTTGTCGATAATGAGGGCCTATTACAATACATACTTCTTCAGGGCTGATGGAACTTTCTTTAAGTGACTAAATGGATATTAAATTTAGAGGACACATCAATCTATCGTGAAATTCTATACTGAAGCAAAGTCCCTCGTCAAAAAAGCTGCTCTGCAACTGCAGCGTGAGGAAGTAGAGGAGTCAGTGATTTTTCCTTTAGCAACATAAATACCATTACGCCCTCACGAAGAAGTCTGTAAACAGAATTCAAACCGTTGAAGTCAACATGCTTCCGAATTTGAGAAAGATGAGTAGCGGCGAAAAGCTCAGAACTTGTGATAATGATCAGAATTAGATTAGATTATTGATATGGATGAGACAAGAAGAGTTCAAATCAAATGTTTTTTACGATATATTCGTATGAGTGAATTACTTGCGGTGTTCTTCAACTACAAAGTGTTCAAAATCCCGCCATCTAACAATTAAACTTTTGCATAGTTGTCTTTCTCGATCTGTCTCTTACTTTCACTCACAAGCAAATAAATATAGATAAACTTTATCGCTTTCTCCACAAATACCTCGAAGCAACTGAAGGATAAGGAGCATTATTTGTTAGACAATGATAATTTTTCGAGAATCTGCATCAGCAGAAACACCAGCAACAATTCAGGATAGAACTCAAGTTATGTTGAGATAGCGCCTATTCACAAAAATTTCCCAAATTGTAAAATAGCAAGTGCTTCTGATTAAAAACTTGAAAATTCTATATATTCATCAGGGTTGTAACACTAGATAAATCTTTTGTACATTTTGAAAGCGGTTAGATATCCCAATCCTTTCAGCAAAATTTGATCTACGAGTGTTTGGTCTGCAAACGAGAATTCGGTCTTTGGAGAAGAAAGTCGAAGGCAAAGATAATGGCATCATCTCTTGGTACAATTACTTTCTTTTGTAAAGAAAAAAAATTATAAACTGGCATTGGCACCTGACAGTTATAGCATTCGTCATTTTCAAAAAAAATTACATACAATACAAAATGCTTGTCAGAAAATAAAAAACCATGGCGAAAATTGCTGAACAAATATGCATTAATGTACTGTCTACTATCAACGGTGAGTTTGTCTTGAATAATAATGACATGGAACAATTTCACTCAATATCTAGAGAGCAAGCAGGTGAAACCTTAGAGATTTGAAAAGGTAAATTTTGTGCTATATTTCGCAAAAACAAAAATCACAAGAAAAATCTTAACTGGTATTCAGCTGGTCTAACTGCTTATAACTACTTTCCCAAAAATCTAGGAACTTTTCATTAAACTTTCCATTAGTGATGCAATTTTTGCAATCGTCGGTTATCATTTGGGTATTAGCCGATAAAAATACATTCGCTTACTTTTGGTGGCTACTGTTAATTTCAGCTGTAGTGTCCAATATTAGATGAACAAAAGATCCTCAGACTATCTAAAACATAGATTAGTCTAGGGAATAGTAGAAGTCAGAATATCATGTTTCATCTCATGTTTTCAAGATGAACTTTCTGAAAGGCTACATCTTTCGGAAGAAATACGAACTTCCCCGCAGGGCATCTGCCCTCTGACCAACTAATCGATAGCAAGAACTTTGAAAGTCAATATGAATAGTCGAACTCACCGATTTCCGTAGTGGAGTTGACAAAGAAGGCGCTTGAGAGCGAGCGAAATGGCGAGTAAACGATGTTACGGAGACGAATCCAATTCGGCACAACGATAAGCAGTCAAGAGTGACAACTGAGCATGAGCAGATAGCTGCTGAAATTCGGCACATCTGCATGAGTTTGGCATAAATCCGAAAAAAAGCTTGAAAAATCGTCCTCGGTAAGCTACGACTACGCTGCGTGGTCGAGCTTGGCATGGTTTCAGGTAAACCACATGTGTACCGTTTTCAAGCTTAGGCGAGATAATGAGCGGGGCTCGGCCCAGGTGGCTTATAAGCAAGCTGGATATCGTTTCTGGGACAAGAAGCAAGGAGAAAATCGTTTTCGACGGTCGGAAACAAGTAAGATTAGGTTTTCTTTTTAGTCGACGTTTCGGTTTTTAGGGTCGATTCAAATAAGGGTCAAAGGGGACTTCGTTTTTTGGATTTTTGGAAAGCCACCTCGTGCGGAGCCTTGATAATGAGAAGTTTCCGTTAAAGAAATGTCAGCATCGCATCTTGAACGTAAAAGCAAAAATTCATGTAACGCTGAGAAAAATTTTAATATGAATGCATTTGATTTTGCCTACATCGCCAACCCAAGTTTCTTCGGAAGGTGGAAATGCTTCAAACTCTCCTATCAAGAACTTTCTCATGTATAACATTTGACGTGTGGTAAAACAAGAAGTTTGTAATGATCAGTTTAGAAAGTTTTCCTAATAATTTTGCTTATTACCTTCTTGAAAAGGTGGTAGCTATTGAGCATTAGAGTAAAAGGTCTTTTTCCAAAGGCTATTCAAAGCGTATTCAATTGTGTCAAACTGAAAAATTTTTTTACATAAAATTATCAAAAGTGGGGTTTTGTTGAGTATAGCAAAGATGCAAAGGAATCAGACTAAAAACTAAAACATAATCAATTTTTAATCAAAGAATTTTACTGATAGATTAGACTGGTTCTCACTGCAAGATGCAGAGTGAAAGCATTTTTTTTTTGAAATTTTTTGGTAGTTTCTTACATCATCCAAAGGGTTCCTCATCTACATTTTCATGATTTCGTGTTCTATAGCTATGCCCATTTCAAAATTGCGTGTTTTAAAAACGAGACGAAACCTGATGCTGCACAGTCAGATTTGCAGCCTCCAGGCCATTGAAAATAAAACAGGAAGTTTACAAAATTGGTAGCACAGCCGAAGAAAAGCTGACGCTCCGATTTTCAACCAGGAAAAAAACGAGGTTTTGCTAGAGGTCAATTTTGCCTTTTCACTTTATCGATATCTCATGGAAAGGGCATTTTGATTTGATTCCACTGCTTCGAAAAGAATTCGTAATGTCTGAGTTTGGCGCCATTATATGTCGGAACCACAGACTACACAAAAACAAAATTGGCGGCCATCCAGCTAAGCTTTCTGAAGTAGTAGTTTAGATAAACATTTGTGAATTGGGCAAAAAAGAAAACAAAGTTTTCGTCAATGTCACAGTGTTAAAGAGGTGATCTTGTATTGCAGAAGGTTTGCTTATTATTAAGATTTTACAATAAGAAAGATTTCTTATAAAATTTACATGAATCCATACTTAGACTTCAAAACTTTGCAGTGATTGTTAAGCGATACAATGCGTAGATTGGCTTTGCGATCAGAATCTTCATTTATACAAATTTTGAGATGTGTTGGAAACTGTGTGTTTCCAGCACTTTGTGCTAGAAACTATTCCAGATGGAATATAAGTAAAACACAAATCGCACGTCAACTCAATTTATTTGAGAGCTAACATAAACGGAGTTGACAATGAAAGCGATCAAATAGAAAGAATTAAAGGATGCTTACATAGTTTAAGCGACCTTTCAATAAAGATTTTAATGTTAGTATTACAGCTTATTCGGTGTGAAAACAATGAAGTGATGGATTCATTCAAGAACTATTGCCCTGCACGAGGTGGCTTTCCGAAAATGCAAAAAACGAAGTCCTACTTGAATTTCGCAAGACTTTACGAAGTCCCCTTTGACTCCCTAGACGTAAAAAATCCCAAAAAACGAAACGTCGACAAAAAACGTAACTCAAATTGTGTATTTTTGGCGACAAAAACGTATCCCTTTGCTTTTTGTTCCAAAAACGATATCCACCTTGCTTATATATGTCACCTGTGCTGAGCTCCGTCAAGAATTATGAATCCAAAATTCGTTGGAAATCCATTATTAAAGCAGTGCAGATCTCAGCACGAATATTTCTGTTTCACATCATGCATAAGAACACGAAATTCAATAAAAGATTTGGTGATAACTTGTCGTTGACAAGTACTCATACTCCCACATAGCGGAAACGTTATCTGAGCGCCTTGACAAAAATACGACATTCTAAATCCGTTTATTTTTTCAAAACTATATAGATCAAAATGAAAGGCCTTCACAAAGAACGAACTTTCCTAACGGATAATGGCAAGTACATGCAAAGGACGGATAGTAAGTAGTTTAGAACGCTGAAGGAACAAATCTTCGTGATCAATAAATAATTACAATTAAAAATTTGAGAAAAGAGATTCAGATTAATTTTCGAAATCTTGTGAGCTTTCGCTTAGTGTACCAGACTTTTTTGGGAGGAATTTCCATGAAAATTGTCTTACCTTCGTTGTCCATTTTCGAACATCTACATACAGCAAGTCTTGAGTCGGTTACTTGATTGGCCATTGTTGTTGTTGAGTGTAGCCGGAAGAGCTCATGTTTGGATCTATAAAGAAAACCGCGAATTTCAAGAATAAAACAAAAAAACGAGTAGGATACATTTCATGATAGAAATGATGTGAATTACTTGCCTACATTAGCAAAAAGTAGGCACTTGATTCATACAATAAGTGAGAGTTGTGCAGTTAAGATAAACCTGTAGGTAGCAAGCACATTTTAGCAAGTTTTTAGCATTACCTTGAGCTAGAATCCAGTCTCTATGGTGTGACTAGACTAGATCATCGCTTTACAGTAGATTGATTCAGCAACCATCTCAAGTCAGTTAGCAGGAAATTGCGCACCTTCATTTTGACTTTCTCTATTAGCGACAATTGAATCCCTAATTCCTGGATTTCAGATAAGAATTCTAGGAACTTTTACTTCCAAGTCCTATTTTTGGCTGGCTAATTTTCTGAAAATTGCTAAATAAAAACGGACCATGATTAATATTGGGTGAGATAAGGATTCCTCCCCCCCCCCAAACTGGAAAATTTTTCATGTGAACTCCTCATTCTCAATTATTCCGCAGAAGATCAAAAATATTTAAAAGCGATAGTATCTTCAACATCAAGTTTTGCATTACAAAAGCAAAAAAGTGCCAAGAAAAGGTTTCACTTGAAGTAGTTGACTGCTTCACTAAAACAGCCATCCCGTTCGAAATTTTGTTCCAAACTCTATTTCAATCCTACAATGTCCGCAATCTGTTCTACTACGATTACGCAGATCCTAAACAAGGCCAAAGCGATAGCTTACGAAAACGGGGCTTGTTGTGCGCTTTCGCTTGTCACACCAATTGCCCCGTCTTCTCGTGCTTACACAAGCAACCGATGAAGGGAAAGGGGGGGGGGGGGGATCGAACAGGATTCTTGGGCAAGCGGCTTTCAGCTTTCTCCATTTCTTCTCCAAGGACTCTGCAAGAGATATCCACTCAGATTTCACAAGAACTATAAGCGAAATGCGACTTGGAACGCAGCCAAATCCAAGCGATTCAAAATTCGTTATTTTCTCTGCATCTTCCTCACTTGCACAAGTGGTTCCTCGCCGTCAAACAGGTTTCGGATGAATGAAGGCGGCAGACGACGACGTTGTCCTTCTCCACCTGAATGCCGCTGACTCATGCTTTGACTGTAGGCTTGGCTAATTACGTAGATAACCGGAATGTGAACTGATCTCTAGTGCTTCTCTTGCATATGAATCACGGCAATGGCAAGAAATGCCAAGACACTGCCATTCGCATGATCGCTAGCACTTTAGGCTGCTTGTTTCTTTCCTATTCGTTCGCGAGTTTCAACTCTCATGCTCCTCTGATCCTTCAAATAGCAAGCAGCTTCATTTATCAGGTGTGAACAAGCAGCCAAAATCGTACGGAATTCTGAAATCAACCTATTCCTGCGTCCTCTTTTTTAAATTTGCGGAAATCAAACAGCTACTTTATTTCCGATCCTTTAAGGCCTCAAAGAGCTTGCTTTCCATATCAACGCTACTCAGCGGATCACATAAATGATTTTCTGGCAATACCCCACCCCCCCCCCTCCCCCCGCTCCGGGGCTACATCGCACTCGTTTTCCACACCGCTTTAGCAACTGGCTGTGCTCGTGAAACTGAAGCAACCAGATCATCAGTTCTGCCTTTCTCGAAGAAAGAATTGCTTGATGATGCAAGAAGTGTTCCACTTTTTTGAAAGAAAAGTGATTATCATGTTTCAACGAGTATCACAGAAAATTCTGTACTTTAATGAAGGTATACAAATGAAATACATACAAATGATTAGAAGTGGTTTTCTATCCAAAGTCAGGACTAGCAACTATACTTATAACGGAGTTTGTAAGAAGGATATGTGTCTAAATTGAAAAAAATGAGTGCTCACTTTTCTGCTACCACTTTGGGGACTTGTTTTTGATTTTTATTTGTCGGATGTCTCTTTCTTGACTTGTCCTTATACATTGTTGTTTGAAGCTCCCGCATTCTCGGAAACACTGTTTGTACTTGGAAGAACTTTTCTGAATTAAGTTTGATGGAAGCTGAGATTGTGGTTGGTGACCCTACACTCTAGTATCCAGTGAACATCTGGAGCAGCACTGTGTCTGCAATCTTAATAAATAATTTTCATTACCGATTTTAGTGAAGTTTTTGAAAAATATAAGAACAAATTTTGGTGTTCAATAGACAGGAGAAAAATTTTTAGACTAGTGCAATTTCAATATTTTTCTGCTTCTCATACACCTTACGTCCGAATATTTTTGATGTATTGTAATATTTTTGTTTATTTTATTTATTCAGTTCTTCCTTCCCGTCCCGCATTATAATTGATAACCTAAGCGTCAGTATTGCAATGCTGCTTCGTTTTAAATCTTTCATTCTAGATCTCGTATTGTCCACTACCTCGCGCAAGCTGCCCAACACACTTCTTTCTTCATCCGTTTCATTGAATAGTAGCGAACTGGTTTGTTAGCCGTAATACTGGTACAAACTTTCACCGGCTTTGACTAGCAAAAACTGCCACCTAAAGATTTGTAGCACAATTGGTATGCGATTATGTCACTGGCCTTGGCAGCCAGAAAAATTATATCATTTACCGATTTGTGGCAAACTAATATAAATCTGATTTGGACTTGGAGACTTAATCTCGGAAAAGCTTTCCATTTTTCAACAAAGAGATAATTCTGTATTCTTGAAAATAATCGAGATCTGGCTGCGCAGTTACACCTGTGTCTGAAAATTCCGCCTCCCAAAGTAGTTGCTTCTAATAAATAAAATAAAAAAACGTGATAGAATATTGAAGTAGTAAAAGCATTTTGTTCGCAGTAGGAAAATGTCCACAATCAATATAAGAGTGAAAGGCTATTGTAAAAGTTGTTTCCAGTACAAAATTGGAGTTTCAAGTGATTCTTCTCATGCTAAACCTGGTGAAGAAAGCTGTTCTATTTCACTGATTCTACTTGTATCGCTTACTTTTGTGCATACTCGACAGTTTTGCTCCAAAAATGAGGAAAAACTTCTTCACTTGGCCAACGAATATACATGCAAAAGCAGTCCATAGGGATTCATTGACATTTATTCATAAAATTTCTGCGTTATAAGCTACAATACGGTTTCTTGCGTTATCTAACGCTAAAAACAAAATTTCAAATGAAAAATATAAAATCAATTGCAAAACAATCGAGCTACGCATCGCTTAATGTACAAATTTCTCAACATGCTGGATCTTTCATTAGTTGAGATCGGCTATGCCAAACTTTAAAGTCACGGAAAATTCAAAGTTACATGCTAGACAAGTTTGTATTGACGTAAATTCGAGCATACAATAATTCATTTCCTTCTCTTGTTACTATCTAATACATTATGTCTTTAGAATCCGTTTCCACTCCTGCTTGACACACTCTTGATTGTGAAGTTTCATCGACACCCTCGTTTTGCACTAAAAAAATATTATTCCATGATGCATAAATAATTCATTTAAACTGCATATACCTCACCACCATTTTTGATTTACACGGATGATCTTCGAAAATTCTATTTCATCTCCAGCAATAACAAAAAAGTGTTAATAGCTTGTTCCTGCACCATGTGTTTTCGCCGCATATCAAAGAACTTGCATGTGAAGAAATTATTTAGATTTACGGCAACATCTGGGACGTTCCATGAATGTGTCGCAACATGCGGTCTACACTATATCATTGTTATTTATATATGTGAACGCCTATACGAAGCAGGTATATGGTTTTTTTATGTATGTAAATAGCTGCCTTTTGGAACAAAATGCCTAGATTTCAAGTATACGACGGTTAATTTAGTGCTCCTTCGTTACCGACAACAGTTGCGCGTAACAGTGACAATGCGCGCCTCCAATGGCCAATTTTACGCCCGTCGCAAGAAAGTTGTTAGCATTCACAAGCATAGCAGTCTTCGCACAAATGTTGTCATTACCGTAGGGGCACTGCATAAACCCTCACATATGGCAGACTGTAACCCTGTCTTACGTTACGAGCCCGTAAAGCAACATAGTGTTGCGTAGTTTCGACCAGGCGCGAAATGCGTATCGTAATAGCTAGCGATTGGAGTTCACATCAAACTTTATGTTGAACGTAAACGTTTTTAGTTATAACTACAAACTTACAGAGAGAACCAGTCTACAGTACATCTTCAATATACATTCCAAAGAAGGCCGATGTCGCTAACAGGAGTAGCGTGTCTCCAGGTGTGTACTTAGCAAGCATCTCAACTTTATGAGAATCTTTTACGACTTTCAATCTACCTAAAATACATAGCCTCGAAACGTATTACATCAGCATATCTATTCAACAAATTTTGAACTACAAAACTGCAATCTTTCTGGTCAGTCCCTGCTTGAATTTCACTAAAATTGTTGCTTTAAACACCAAAAACAGGGTCTTCATTAACTTTAGAAGAAGCCAGATCCTAGAGACTATTCTGGACAAAGCGCTTTTTCCTTTGTTATGCTACAATTGAATGGCTACATCGTCATTATAGGGCTCTGATATTTGTTTTGGTTTGTCTTGTCTTCCATTTTTATAACTATTCTTCCTTCTGTGACTAAGGATTGGCTAGTCTTTTGTATTAATTCTGTGTTGCCTGACTGTTCGATTTCGGTTTTTTAATGGTGCACCGCGAATGTATACATAAATAAAAAAACAAGATAAAATGACTGTTTTGAACGATTAGAGTGTACAGTGATGATCTTCGACATTCACCTTCTTTCGATTTATAAGTATGAAAAATCATACTGATGGCCAACGCCTGACATGTACCATGATTCCACTATTTCGTTTAGTTTCTTCTATTTTTCAATTTTTAGTCTCTTATTTACTCTGTGCCATTTTTGACTGAAGCTAATTCCTAACAAATACAACATTGAGACTTGTGAGGACTCAAGGGCAGATTTGAAAGAGAGGAGTACATCTTACAAGGGAAGGACCAACATTAGTCGGCGATTGAAGATAAGATATATACCAGTAGACGCGCCTTTGAACGCTGATTCCAAATCTGCTTTCTTTTTTTGCGGAATAAGTTTCCGAAAGAAGTTGTGGGCGTTCAAATGTCCAAATTTGTCAAGGTTTAGGTGGCCTAAAATCGGCAAAAAGCTGTAGAAAAACACCAGAAAGTGGGAAATCATTTTTGTATCGAGCATATTGTTTGCAAGGAAGGAACAAAGTCGGTGGGAATCGCATAGGTGTTGTTTTAGAGCTTTTCGCTGATTTTAAGTCACCCAAGGCTTGGCAAATCTGGACATTCAAACGCTCATAAATTCTTTCGGAAACTTATTCCGCAAAAAAAGGAAAGCAGATTTGGAAACAGCGTTTAAAGGCACATCTAAAAATGTACATCACATCTTCAGTTGCCAACTAATGTTGGTATGCTTTCCTTGTTAGGCAATGCATGACCTTTGAAATATCATTTCAATCAGAACAGAAAGAAATGGTGCGGGACAGTCCCACAAATCCAGCAGATGATTGGCGATCAACACTGTTTGGAGAGCAAGGTATTCTGACTGCAATATTCAGAATGCTAGACCAACAAAGAAAAATAGCATCAAACAATCCTTCTTATAAGATAAACGATGGTAAGCTAATACTCTTGTCTAATTGTGAAAGACCCTGATATCTTCCAGTGAATAACTTTGATTTGAAGAAGGTGTTCGATATGTTACTAAGAGAGGATGCACGTGGAGACTTCGTCGATCCGAAATCTGAACTTTCGGAGGTAGGTTTTGACGGACTTTTGGCACTTCAGAAAGGCACCGAGACACCAATTCTTTTTTTGTAGTTTCTTGGACTTTGCAATAAACTCAGTTGTGGCGATATATACAAGTCGATTGATAAATTCAGACGGTCCGAGCTTTTCACTAACTTCCAGGTACGTTCCAGAAAAAAATTTCGAAAATATTCTTGATTGTTAGGATGCAGATTTTATCTTATCATCACTTCATAATATGTTTTGCCAGTTTAAAATATTGTGGATGCCGTCGTGTTCTATCATAATCCAAATCAAAATATAATTTTTATGTTTGTTCTTTTTGGCTTTTGACTTGTTCAAAACCGCGTATTGTAACACCAAACTCGAGGGATCATGGAAATTTTTAGAAAACAAGCAGTAAAGCTTCATTATTTTGGAAATGCCAATGCAAACTGGTGAACATTTGAAAATACCGTAGGTTCTCGGCGATTTTTCAAAAACCCACAATGTTCTACTAGTCATCAATATGTGGCAAAGGTATTCTCTGCACTTTGTTCTCCTTTTCCCAATCAGTTTCCCGTTTCCCACCACAACTCGATTTTTTGCAAAGTTCTTTCGGTTTTTATAATTCTAAGTATGCGAATGTGTAGCCAATATTATCTCTTGGCGGGTATGTTTGGTTTTATTTTATTTGTCGTACACTTCCTTCAGTTTATGCCACCACTTGCAAACATGTTTGCTTCCCTATCATAGTTTGCAGTTTTTGTCATTTCCACCATCAAAATATCTTGTCATCTAATCTAAGCCTATATTGAAAATACACACAGAATTTCACACAACACACAATTGGTCCATTTCTTGGGATAGTTCAAATCTGTTCCAAACTCGTCTCAACGCCGTTTACGAGCCGCGCGCAAGTCAAATTCGCCTGTACTCAGCTTATATGGACATCCTCACCATGGTTGAGCAAGAGGTCAGGCACAAGTCTTTCCAAAACGACCCCCCCCCCCCAGTGAAAGCCCCTAAACGACCCCTCTGCTTCACCTCCAGGACCTCAGGCTGTAATAATTCGAAGAGATCAGCCGTTTTTGGGAGGTTCTTGCTTTTTGGAGATTTGTAGGTCGACTTTCTGCGATTGCACAGCACACGCAACTTGACGGCAAGTTTTGGATTTTGAATAGCCCTACTTTTAGAGCTATAATTCCCACAGGGGTGTATAGTTTGGCTCCAAATTTGCAGTATTGCAAGAAGAGCCTTTGAGTTCAATACTTATAGCAGAAATGGAGAGATTTTTAGATTTTGAAAACAAGTTAATCGGGTCAGGCGCAACCCCTCAAAAGCTCAGGCGGCCTGACCTTTTGTGGGGTTGCGCCTGACCCGATTAACTTTATCATTGAAGAAGCTTTTTTATTCAAGTTTTATGTGAATCGCTAGCACAACCTTCGAAGATTCCACAGTAAGTGTTTGGACTTGATTCGACTTGTTTCTTCCTTGTGGTAATCCGTGGAGTTGAAGCAGTCATGGCGAAAAACGCGCGGTCGGAATTTTGGCATTGTTTCTTACTCCACTATTTGCAAGCGATACAAAGCGCGATTTTTAGCCTAGACTAGTAGGGAACAATACTTGTTACGAGTACAAAAAAAATTGACTTTTCTCACTTTTGAAAACAAGTTAATCATGTTTGAAAATCACGCTTTTTAGTCGTTGAGAAACACTAGATAATTTCATTTCATTTATTGCATAGGGTAACCCTATGATAACTGCAACAATAACCAAAAAAAAGAACATACGAAACCAGAACACAACAAAAATGGAATCATGAGTGATAGCTCGTGACCAACCCGTGTTAGTAACAACAAATTACCGAGACTGTAGATAGTTCCTTAAAACAGACTTGAACGTAGACAGCTTTGCAGGAAACAGGCGTTTTCTAATAAGCTTGTCCATGTCATTGATTACACGACATGTAAAAAAGTGTCGGCGAACTTTGTGTTTTGATCTGGAGATAATCAATTTTCTACTCCCTCCCCTTGTATTAGAAATCCTGGTAGGAAAAAATACCCCGAAATCCAAGCCACAATGACCATACGCAATCTTATGTGCCATGAGAAGGTCAAACTTACGCCTTCTATAGGCAAGGGAAGAAAGCCCTAATTCAGTGTTCCTAGTCATACCATTCGGTATGAGATCATATCTGAAACCAATTCTTCGGATGAAAAGTTTGCGTGTAAAACTATTCTGAACTCTTTCCATATAGTCAATCGTTTTATGCAAATGAGGACAAAAAATAACAGTTCCATATTCAACCATAGGTCTGATGAACGATTTGTAAGCTTTCAATAGAGAAGCCGTGTCATTAATTGCGAAAGCCCTGAACAAGTTATATACCGATCTAGTGGCTTTATCTGCTATCAACTTGCAGTGATCATCGAAGGTGAGGTCGCTTTTGACCATGAAGCCCAGATCTCTTATAGAATCAACTTCTTGAAGATAAGTTTCCCCAAGGACATACTTAAAGTTTGGATTAGATGTCTTTGGACCGATATGGATCACTTTAGTTTTCTCTGTAGAAATAGGAAGAGACCACTCCTGCAACCAATCATAAACCTCATTGAGTGCTCTTTGCAACCGTTCATAGTCTGTCACATCCTTGACAACTGCATACAGTTTGAAATCGTCAGCGAAAGCGCTGCAGGAAATCCCCTGGCTTAAAGGAATAGAAGGAAGCTCGTGAGTATAGATATTAAATAGCAGAGGTGAAAGCACACCACCCTGTGGCACACCGCCATGCATCTTCCTCAGACTGGAGAAAGAGCCATTAACACGCACCGTGAAAGATCTGTCCTCCAGAAAGGCTTTTATCCACGCCACAACACGTGGGTGTATTCCTACCATAACCAATTTCTGCAACAGCTTAGGGTGTGGTACTTTATCAAAAGCTTTGGTGAAATCCAAATAAATAACATCGGTATTCAGCCTATTCTCAAAGTTTTGTGTCCAATCATTGAGGCATTGCAACATGGCTGTCGTCGTGGACTTACCACTCTGAAAACCATGTTGGACAGGAGAAATAATTCTATTGCTCTCTAGATGCTTGATAATACGCCTTTTCAGTATCTTTTCAAAGAGCCTAGCAAAAATTGAGGTAATGCTAACGGGGCGAAAGTTATAAGGGGAGGTAAACGGTTTCTTTTTCGGAATCGGAGTCACATATGAAGCCCGCCACCTATCCGGTACCTCGGCCTTCATCATACTCAAATTGAACAGGAACTGGAGGGGCCCGGCTATCACGTGCGCAATCAATTTTATGAACTCTAGTGGAACCATATCAGGTGTCACGGAAGTTGACTTGGGCCAAGCGATCAGCAACTTGTAGATTTCCTCACCATAAAACCACGGTCCATCATCCATCACAGCACAACAAGGAGTACTGTGACCTCCATGATCAATGGAACAATCCCTTTGAAAGCCATTTTCAAAAACATCTGCAAAATATTCGGCTTTATCGAAATCATTTGTTACTACAGTCCCATTATCAGACAACAATACCCCTATCCTGCTCTTTTCCTTGAGTCTAGAACTAATAAGCCTGAAAAACGAACCCTTCTTTCCCGAGTCAATGATCTTGCGTTCTACAGACGCATTGTACTTTCTCAATCTTTTGGCGAATATATCATTGATTCTAATAAATTCATCCCAATTACACACGTGTCCGCTGTCAGCCACCCTATTCCACGCACGCTCCCTTTTATTATATAGTACCCGGAGGTAGCTTGGTAGATTGATTGTTGCCAGTGGGATATCCCTCAAGGGAACAAAAAGTTCTATGGCATGATGTAGTATATGAATAAATAGTTCATACTTTTCATTGATGGACTCAACTGTACCGAATGATCCGTACCAATCCACCCCTCTCAAGTAATCAATAAGTTTATCCTGATTAACATGTTTGAAATCTCTACGTCTTATGTATCCAGTTTGAACGGTGGGATTGGTGATCACAAATCTAACGGTTGCATGATCGCTTGAACCAAGAGGAGCCCCAACATTTACCTCCCTGATTAAATGCTCATCATTAGTTAAGATCAAATCAAGAATATTATGTCGTAGTGTATGAGAGAAAACTTTTTGGGATAGACCATGCAAGCGACACATATCCAAGAAATCCCTTGCAGCGGACGCATGTCCTGACACAACACAGAGGTTAGTCCAATTGATTCCTGGCAAATTGAAGTCACCCATGATCAAAACGGAGTTGCAGCACCCAATGAGATCAGTGATTGCATTAATCATTTGCATCGTTTTATAACTCGAGCAGGAGGGAGTCCTATACAACAAGATAAGACGCACGGTCTTGTAAGAATAGATGTCGGTGCAAAGAAGTTCATAACTATCGGGTTCAGATTCACTGAACACCATATGAGGGTTAAGCTTAGAGGTCATGATCAAAGCTACTCCCCCTCCTCGTTTCTCCACGCGATCACACCTGTGAATCACGTAATTATCAAGAGCTCCTAGTAACGAGCTGTCACTGATATTATGATTAAGCCAACTCTCAGTAATTCCAATGATTCCTAGATTGTACTTTGCGACAAGAAATATTAGACTCGCCATGTTCCTGCATAGTGATCTTGCATTAGCCAAAAGACATTTAAGTGAGCTATCAACAGTCCGCAGAAAATTTAAGCGTTTAAAGAATTCAATTCATCAAAACGATATTCATCACACTGAGACGACATAAGATTGGTGCCTAGTGAAGCAGCATGATCAGGAGCAACATTATGAGAAACATTATGAGAACATTCTTGAGAGGTAGTAGTTGTTGTACTTTTAGCCTGATTACGCTGAGCCACCCTTTGTTTGCGAAGCCGATCCCTCTCTTCCTTAGGAAGAGAGGGTCGCACAAAAATACCCCGTTGTAAGGGGAAAGTTTTTAGTTGGGGTGCTCGACGTAAAACCAGGTTAGCAAAATACGAACACGGTAAAACAACCTTGAGGAGCCGGTTATGGGAATACTGGGGTTTCCCCATGCGGTAAAAACAAAGAGGACGACATTCTACACCGAGATAATCAAGGATTTGTTCAATGCACATATAGTCGTGATTTACTCTAAGCCTACAAGCAACATTTTTTCTTTCGGGGACACCGATAAAAACTAAGGATCTCTTCCTTTCTTCATCAACGTTGGGCGAGACCGTGGGGACAGTGGGAGCAGGTTGAGGAGCAGGTTCACGATAAACAGGGGGACGTACACTAGGAGAGCTCAAAGATTTCAACTTGTCATTCTCACGCTTAAGACTAGTAACCTGCTCATTTAAGGAAACTATTTGATCATTCAACTCACGGTTTTGTAGAAGGAGTTCATCGATTTGCTTTCTAGACTCTAGCAGATATGCTATGATGGTTCTAGCATATAGGGGCAGCGTTTCGTCCTTGGTGAGATCGTTTGCTGCCTTGTCAAGCTCAGGGGATGGGGAAGTGAATTCTAGCTTCCTTTTTTTCAGCCTGTCGATGGGCCTGAGGGGGTATGCGGGTGTCTCCATCAGCAATACCAGAACTCAGGAAAGGAACAGCAGAATAATCGATACAGCTCAGCAAAAGATAGGCTGATCGATAGTGGGAATGCTGTCAGAGATGGAGCAGCGAGACAGCAAAGAAAAAATTGATGATCTGCTCTTGGTAGGGGTTGCAGGGGGAGGGGGATTAGATGCGGTAAAACTCCCAACAACAGGAGACGAAATGGGAGCAGACGAAGGGGCAGTAGAGCTGAGTGAACTAGCAACAGAATACAGATAGGGTGGAGGAATAGCTGCGGTAAGGATGCAGGACCACCAGTAGGCCAATGCAGACGGTCGGAACGCAGAAGCAAATAGCAAGCAATAACAGCAACCTCTTCACACCGACACGGAAAAAGGCTCGAAATAGCAACTCCCAGAATAGTGGAGGCTGACGAATGAATATACAGAAGTGTATAAGCCCGGACGAATAGAAATAACACCAATGAAGTAGGGTAGGAGAAGGAAAAAACCAATAATCAGATCTCGGTCGACAAGGCGGCAGAGGTAAGGCGCCAACCAACCGCTCGCTGGCGGGACACTGAGTCGAATGAGTGCAGTAAATAATGGTTTGTAGGGCTCATAGAGGCAATTTGACGTGCTCGGAAATGATACCCATTTCACACAGCAAGCTTCCTTGATGAATTTATAATATGTCAAGGTAGAAGATGAAGATTTGCGTTTTGGCCGAAACTTCGATTGTGGAATCAATCAGTATGCTGTTTAAGACCGTTCATTCCTTCAGTACTGGTGAGGTCGCGATATCCACTAAACTAGCGCTTTTCTTCTTCACCTTAATCGTAGTATCTCCTCAATCGAACGAATTCGATTCCTAATCACGACCCCCCCCCCTCTGTCTTACCCCAGTACGACCCCCCAGGTCGGGCGCGCCTGACCCCACGCTCAACCCTGATCCTCACCCTTCCGTGGATAGATTCTAACTCATACGCTTGCTCAACTTGATACAAAATACTTAGTGAGCATTCGTTTCGTGCCTTAGAGTTTGACCTTTTGATTCTCCAGATATTTGGATCTCTCTTTTCAGAAACAATTGATGCGGTTTTTTGCGAATACATTTCTTCCTTATTGATTAACCTTAAACAGAGCTTTTCTGCAAACCCATTAAATCTACTCTTCAAGAAAAATGCACAATGTTTACCCCTTACATAGCACCTATCGTACTGTCTTTTGATTCCAGATAGCACTAAGTCTCATACAAGATCCCAACGGATGGGAAACAATTGGAAATCTTCTATCGAACCCAGAGCTTATTTCACAATTTGTTGCCGGTACGGGAATGGAGGAACTCGTCGGAAGCGCACTAGGTGACAAGAAAGAATTAGCAAAAAGTAAGTTTTCAAAACATAGCATAAAGTATGAGGTTTAAGACAACTTCTAATGCTAGTTGTTTTTCAGTTTATTCTCTTTATCAGTTGTGAAAACGATGACAAGTTTAAAACTAATCAATTTTATCTGCAGTTAGCAGTACAGTCTATCGCAATTTGGAGTGTCCTATTTGCGGTACATCCACCGCGCAACCCTCGCTTGGCTTGCGCGGGGGTGGCGTCAACGACCGAAGATCAGCCGTGACATGCGCCAAGGATGCCTAGCCGCGTAAAAGGGACACTGCAGTTGAGACAGGCTGTATTCGTTTCCATGAAATACGCGTAATGCAATATTTTTGCGTTCAAACTAATAGTCGCTTCTAATGAAATTTCGGTCTGCTTCTTGAAGGCACTGTCCAAACTCGTAAAATAAAATCTCCATCATACTTTTTTCTTTGATGGATGAATCTTAGCTGGTGATTCTCGTGCATAGGCTGTTTGAGGTAAAATTTTTAGCTCATTATGCAGAGTACGATCAAGAAAAGTCAGAATTCAAAGTAGACTAATTTGGAGCTTTCACTTTGTTCTGCATGATATTTCGTCTCCGATTTTTGCCTTAATCGAATGGGCATCATGCCATTTCTGATGCTTTTGTTTTAAGGTTGCGCACTCGACAAAGATTTTGACTTGACGTGTTTCGAAGACCACTCACAAATTTTGTACCTTATTCCCGAGAATGGACGGTGTCTTTAAGCTCTCATCAAAAGCAACCTAGTAATATACAATCTACCGTCCCATAATATCCGAAAAGGAGATTGTTTTAGAGCAGGAGATGAAGTCGAAATTGATGCCAGAAGATGGAGATTTTGGCATCGAGTTCATCGACGGTACCGACGAGAAGGGTTTACCCGAGAAGAAGACCGAAGGAGAGCTACCAGAAATAGATTTCTCGGTTGACGGCAAAGGTGGCGAAGACTACTACGAGCAAGTTAGCGCTTAAAACTACCGTGACTCTATTATAGTGCGAATTTATCCTAGCATTTAAGGTCTCAGAAGTCATAGACGAAACCACCCCGCCACCGGTGGCTACATCCACTCTGGCAATGACTACAACCACAACTATGACAACTGGTAAAATCTATCGATTCTGACGATTTCTGCCGTCCAAATAGTCAAGATGATACTTACAGAACCGCCCTTACCGGAGATATCCTTCTCGATTGATGGCGATGGCGAGGAAGTCGAGACTGTTCAGGTGCCCGCACCGTCTATAAACATTCAGGTAAAAACCTCAGCTTTCCATTCCGGCTCTGTTCCACAAATTAGTTATCAAATAAGGCTTACAGAGAATAAATTGGTAAAAGTTCACCAAATATAAAAACAATGATTTATTAATTATAATTAAATGATTAATCATAATGATCACTACGTATAAAAGCATGAATTCGTGCACTTTCCCTAAACGATAGCTGATGGTAGACGCGGAGAAGCCAGACGAAAGGCGGACACGCCCCCTGTGTATTTCCATATGAGACATGTTTTCATTTGTACCGAACCGTCTCGAATTTTTTTCGCGCATAGCTGTCGCCTAAGGACAAATTCCAGACTATAAACAGACCATCACGAGTGGCACAACAGTCTCAAGACGATGTTTTCGCATAAGTCACATGACTGCATCATATGCGATCCTTGAACAACATCCATAAAATAACGAGGCAAATGTTCCCCCCGGTCGAGGTTCAGTATACTATGTCGCCATTATTATGAAAAGTCGCCTCGTGCAAGGTTGTTGCCGCATCGTCTTACGTAGGTTTTATCTACATAAATCTTTTGTTTGCAGGTGGTAAATATTTTCAACATTTCCAGTTTATGTTTCTGCCTTTGTGCGTTTACGTTTATTTATCGTTTTTTTGTTTCGTTTTTCTCTGCCTACACAAAAATTAAATCGCACAGATTGAGTGGGTTTCGTGGTAGAGCCAAAACCTGATGCTTTTCGAAGTCTAAGAAATACTGCAAATGATGGAAATTTTGCTTTTACAAGTTTTTGAGAAATCTAACTTTTGTCGTATTCCGAAAAGCGTGAAATTGCGTTCTCTTGTCGGAGGCGACCCCTCAGAAGAAAAAGCACTAAGACAACTACGCACCGCAGATAATGTCGAAATTTTGATCAAAAATGTTATCTGATGGACTTGTAGAAAGGTTAATTTGTGTAATTGGGTGTCGCTGGTGGGAACGAGGTTTTATCTCAGACTAATCCTGCTTTCGTTTCCAGAATTGAAAGTGCTCGAGTAATTGGGTATTGCTGGTGGACGAGTATATATTTGTGAAAATATACCCTGTTGTATAGAAAGGAAAGCGTAAGTAACTGGATTTCGCTGGTGGAGACGAGCGTTACTTAAAGAAACGCTTGAGTCTGGGTCTCGTTGGTGAAGGTTTTTTTTGCTTTGCTTGAAACTCAACGCTTCGGGTCTTTGGGTCTCGCTGGTGGAGGGAAGCGTTTACTCGGCGAAATTCTATGCTTTGGGTGACTGGGTCTCGCTGGTGGAGATGAGCTTCTAAAGAAATCCAACGCTTGAATGACTGGGTCTCGTCGGTGGAGGAAAGCGGGGCGTCGGGTAAGGAACCAACGCCAGTAAGTGCTCTCGATGGTGGAGAAGCGTTTACTCGCCGATTCAATGCTTTGGGTGATTGGGTCTCGCTGGTGGAGATGAGCTTCCATCTGGGAAAATCCAACGCTTGAATGACTGGGTCTCGTTGGTGGAGGAAAGCGGCGCTTCGGGTAACGATCTCACTCGTGGAGATGAGCTTCCACTTGGGGGAAATCCAACGCTTCAGTAAGTGCTCTCGATGGTGGAGGAAAGCGTTTACTTGGGGATTCAACGCTTCGGGTCTTTGGGTCTCGCTGGTGGAGATGAGCTTCCATCTGGGAAAATCCAACGCTTGAATGACTGGTCGTTGGTGGAGGAAAGCGGCGCTTCGGGTAACGATCTCTCTCCTGGAGATGAGCTTCCACTTGGGGAAATCCAACGCTTGGATGACTGGGTCTCGCTGGTGGAGGAAAGGGAACGGCCATAGGTTGTCGGTGTTGTCGGTGTTGTCGATGTTGTCGGTGTTGTCGGTGTTGTCGATGTTGTCGGTGTTGTCGGTGTTGTCGATGTTGTCGGTGTTGTCGGGGTTGTCGGGGTTGCCGAGGTTGCCGGTCGTTGTAGGACCTCATGATAGCCTCCACGTTTCGCGCACTCTCTAAACTGTCTCTGACCTCGACAACTCCGACAACACCGACAACACCGACAACATCGACAACCTATGGCCGTTCCCAGAGGGTTCACTTGTGGAAATTTAACGTTTTGGGTAACTGGGTTTCGCCGTTGGGAGATGGGTTTCCACATAGGAAAATCCAGCGCTTGAACTACTGAGTCTCGTTGTGGAGGACTTTTACTCAGGTTATGCTCTTCCGTGTGGAAGAGAAAGCTTTTAGATTACTGGGTTCCGCTGGTGAACATGTGTTTCTGTTTGAGGAAATTCCACTAGCGGTAACTGGGTCTCCTGTTGAAAATGCTTCTATTAGGGTGATCACTAAAAAAAGGGGCACCTAGAGAATAAATGTAGATTTCTCAAAAAAGAAAAGTGATTGAACTTTCCAATTTTGCTAGATATTAGAATAAATTGTTCTCTTTCAGAAAATACCTATATAAGGTCATTTACATACGTAATAATTTTTAGAGTGGCTGAAATGCAAAGTTAGTCACTTTGACAAATTATAAACTTTGGGCAGTATCTGCGCAGTGAAACATGTGAGACCACCCAAAGTACCACTGCTGGAGTGGGTGGTGGGACAGTCACTAAACCCACGACAGCTTGATGGCCTCAACTTTCAAAGTCAGGAGATATAGCCAATAGTAGCTTCGGGAACAAAGATACGGGTTATTCAATTCTTTCAGGTGAACGCATGTTTTCTAGGTATCATTTGATAGAGCTTTTTACGCTCTATCCATTCTTATGCAGCTTACCTCACATTTCATCTATCTTCGGAAAATACAGATTGAAAATTGATTTATTGGTTTTTGTTGCGCCAAAAAATCGCGATTTTTCAGGTGTTCTCTTTTTTTACCCAGGAATAGAAAGTTATCCTGTATGTTTAATATATTGTTTGAAAGAGTATGAAGAGCTCTTTCGAATAGTATATCAATTGCTCTATATCTTTGCGGTATGGCAGCGCAAGAATGAGCGATGTTCAAAAAACCCTGTTCGAGTCAGGGCGCCACGCGTAGGGTTGTGGGAGAGGAGCGTTGAAGCTTTGCCAGAATAATAGGCGAAGGTGCTTATATAAGCGACGTTAACGTTGCAGCCTGCTTGTTGTTGATCTGAAAAAAATCTCAAAATTTAATAAAAATCAAGCTGCCCCATTTTTTAGTGATCACCCTAATAATTGGGGTTATACGCTTGAGTAGTGGGTCTGGCTGGCGAGCTGGTGAAAATGAGCTTCTGCTAGGTAAAGCATCAATTATCCTATAGGAAAGGCGGTTGGGAACGAGCGCCTATCCAGAAAAATTTGCTTTTCTTTGAAGAAAGTAAAGCATTCAAGTAAGTGGGTCTCGCTGGTGGAGATGAGGGTTAATTCGAAAGATCTTCCTATTTTGTATGAAGGAGAGCTTGATGATTGAGTCTGGCTGGTGGAGCCAACGCTTTCCATAAAGGATTATAGCGGGTAACTTTTTCGTACATAATTGGCAAAATTTGATCGATGATTGAAGGGCAGGGCATATAAAGAGTAACAGGGTTTCGTTGTTCGATGGCAGCTGACTCTTCAGAGAGGTCACTACCGGGGGTGACTTGGTGTCGCTGTATCGCAAAATCCGTAGAAGAAAATAGTTCTGAGAGTGCGTGTTGAGGAAATTCTGTTTTTGTTGAAAGCGAAGCGTGTGAGTGAGGATCTCATTGATGGAGGCCATGCTTTCAAGCGAAAGGAACCTTTTCGGGAAGTGCGTTTATTCCACAGATTTTCCAATATCTCATAAAAATCTGCTTTGTGGACGTTTTCATGGGGAAACCTCACCTATACTTGTAGAAAAGCGAGTTATTTACGAGTCCCGCAAAATAAAAAGGCTCAAAGTTCAGGGTAGAGTATCAGTCCAGAAAACTTTTTCAGATGCTTCCACCCGATAAGGAGTCTATCTTGGAGCAAATTTGATGATTCGGCGGAAATTATGTTCAAGTAAAATAAAATGCAGGAAGATGTCATTGAGATACACAAACTTCCAAAACATATGCTTCATCCACTTATAGCGACCCGCAGGGTCGCTAGTTAATTAATCAAATGATTTATTTATTTTTTAACTATATAGATGCTGTCATACAACTTCTTTATTCAAGTATGCATGGTTTTATCTCAAACATAATCAAACTGTCAAACTGAAAAAAGCCGAACATCGTAATCAGTACATACAATAACCACAAAGTTCAGCTATAAAGAGTAAGTGGCAAAACCATAAGCAAAAACAAAAATACATTTTCTTGGAACTTTTACCATTTTGAGGACCAAATTTCGAAAAACCAAGATTTGTGCGATTCTCTCGATCAGCTTATTTCATCATGTTATGCCAACATGGATTTTGCTTTGAGCACTATTAGAAAGGGCATGATTTTCTCGCTCTGAGCTTCGAAAATTTTGGAACCACGAAAAAGTTTCTCAAAAATTTTGATGCAAGATTTACGGGTAACCATCCTATAACCCCAAAAACATTCAAAATCTACACGCTGAAACTATGAACAAAAAGCTTATTTGACACGCTGGTCACAAAAAATGTAAGTTCGTATGTTAGAGCGTCTTCATGGGATTAGAGAGTAAAGTATGAGTTACGATTTCAGAGTTTGCTGTAGCATTGCATAGAGCGTTCTGAGGTTCAAAGTGCTGATCATAAGTATCATGACCATTTCTTAAGAAAGCTTCTCAAGGTGAGGTCACTTTGAATGCATCGTGTGCCCTAGCTTGACCCCACCGTAAAGTTTTACTTCGATATTGTGAATATGTCATTAATGAGTGTGTCAGTATGGTAATTCTGAATCTCGGCTTTACCGTATACCCACCGTAACCGCAGAGAAAGGTCATATAATGTGAAAATGAACATCATTGTGATGACTAGCGTGGCAAATTTCTGTGCATAGCTTGTTAAAGGTCCAAGACTTTGCATTTTTGTGTTCTACGAAGTGTAATAGTATCTTCATTCCTACTTCTCAAAGTCCCTACTTCTTCATGTATGCTGCAGCGTATCTTTCTTACAGGTGGTTCCTTCGCCCAACTCAACACCTCCTCCTGCCAGACCTCCGAGTTTCATGCGAAGGTCGGTCAGTACAGTATATCCACCCATAATAACAAGAACCTCGCCGACGACGACATTACCAACTACGACAACGGTACGAACAACAGTGCGGACGACAACCACGTCGCGGTTGACGACAACTGTTCGCAACCATCGCAAAGATAGTGATTATTATGCCATGTACTATGACGAGCAGCCACAGTAAATATCTTGTGCCATATATTTCATTGCTTCTTGCATGAGTCAAAGAGTGAAGGAAAGTGAAAGTATAGGGCATTCCAAAAATCGTGGCGATTGCGCGAGTCGCACGCACCTTCAGGCAACCGCATTTTCTTGGTTTTAATCTCTACTCGACTGGTTTTTTTTTGCTTAAGTATGATAGTACTTGGGCATTGGAAGTGGCTGAGCTGAGTGTTAAGATGATGCCTTTTTGTATGAGGGTGCTACGCTCCTGTACTGATGGCAGCAATGATTAGCGAGCTTATCACGCTCACTAAATGAACGAAACTGATTCAAATGCGTTAAGGTATATAGTATAAAGTTGAATTTCGCAGTTAACATACTTCTACTACCAATAAGACATTATAAATGTTCAACAAAATTTTGTTCACAAATCACAGTAATTTTCCGTACTGCAAGGCACCACAATCTGTCAAAATCATTGCTTGATTAAGGTCTTATACTACACATGGAACAATTCGAAGCACGAAGTCCTTGCGGTAAAATCAGACTTGCCATATCCGTGACAACCATCTCCTACCAAGACAGATGGTCTAAAAATAAGACTTACTGACGTTCCGAACTGAAAAGTTCAATTTTTAGATGTCATTAAAGGTAGGGCCTGTCCTATATTGGCATAGAGTTAGTGGTATAGTCGAAAATTTCACTAAAGTCGGGAATCCAGTGGTGATAGCAAACAGTAATTAAGTACCTAACAATTATTTTAGATACAAGTAAGAGTACAGTCCAATATTTCAGAGTAGTGCGGATTTCGTCAAACTTAATCTCGAAGTTGTCTCTCACTTATGCCACAAAAACTGACAAAGACATGCTATCCATCAGCCCTTTAACTGCTGACCTTCTAGTCACGATAAGTAGTACTTGCTTATCGCCGTAAATCGAATGATTCACAGTAAACAATGCATTAAAACTCCTTCCGAAGCTCAAGAGAAGAATAGCAGTACTGAAAGGTTCTCAGTATGCAAACGTGCCCCGCTACAGCGACCGCATCGCTACTCTGCTGCGAAGGCCCAATTTTCTTCACACGACCCTTGCTTTTCAGACGTTTTTAGCTTCTTCATTTTTTCTTCTTTTGTACAAGTTAATTCACCCTGCATTGTACAATGTAACGTTTGCTTACTCATGTCATATTTGCATCTTCATCTTAATGATTTTAGTAGGCTGAACTTTTAGGGTAGAGGACGCTTGTCTTAACATTAAAAGTGCCCTTCTCATTTTTATTATCCACTTTTCTTCAAGATATCAACGCACTGTGTTGTTTGGCAGTCTTATCATTCTTGTTTTAGAAGTCTTCCCGATTCTAGGGATACTTTTTGTCTTACCCACCAACTACTGCTAAATTATACCTCGTTTTCTTCTTGTAGGTCGTAGATACCCTCCATTTCCACTAATCTTGCTAGTCGTTACTCTGTACACTTTCTCGCTATCGAAAGCTCATTCACGTCACTAATGGTATCAGAATCAGGAGGAAAGAGGACTTTGTACAATTTGAAGTAGTTGAACTTCGTGCAGTCTGTAGTAGCTAGATGAACTGATTTTCATAAATACATGTCGAATTTATAAGGATCACCCTTATAAAAAGTAGCTTTTGATTGTTATCGAACACATGTTCTGAGATAACGGCATTACGTTGCCGCCTTTTTTCTCATGAGCGCTGACTTTATAATCGGGTAATGAACTACAAATTTTGACCAACGTCGCTAATTTGTGTGAAGTATCTGTAGCGAAAACTTCAAATCTATAATTTCAACGCAAAAAAACTGATTCGTCCCAGCCGAAAAATTTTTTGCAGTCTCCACGTGCAGAAGTGCAAATAGCATTCCAACAAGTCCTATGATTGACAGTTGCAAGTGCTCATTAACAAAACATCATCACATCACCATTGTTCATGTTTTTTGTGGCATTGTAAGAATATGGATCACACGATTAAATCTAGCTTTTTATCCTACTTTTTTACCATTTGTTTTACATACAAGTCAATGAATTTGTAAGACTACCTATGGAGAACTGGAACAGCGCATCTCATTTCCTTTATTCACTTTCTTCTTATTGAGATAGATTGTTTTCACACTTGATCTTCTCATTTGATTTATGTGAAGTTTACTATACAACAAATGATTGGATGTCGTTGTTATTTGCTGTAATGTGTCCTGATTGTTTTTTTTTCGTTATTGATAAGTGCCACTTGGGAGTTTTTACTGATAAAAGTAATAGTTGCTATTAATTCCGTTATTTTTCATGTTCTTTTCTGTGCGGCTTAACCGCGTACATCTAATGCCTGAGCTTTATTTAGTCTGGGGTCCAGAAGTTGATGGAACTGTTTGCGTAGGAAATTATTGCTATACTCAGGACATGCCCACATATTAGCGAGGAACAAGTAAGTGAACGTACGTAAAAAATCCTTTTCTTCTTATCAGTTTTGGGTTGCATTATTCTTCTCACAGCTACCTATTGTGTGAAGTGGTTAAACACTGCGGTGTATCCTAAAAAATGTCTTTACTGTTTGAGTGCGAATAACTCTCTCACTTCTGTCTTTCGTTAACCAAAGATATTATTCCATAGGGCTGGCCTTGACTTAGATATGCATTATAATAGGGTACGCTGATTGCTCGTCATTACTGTAGGGTCACGGTAAGCACTTCCAACAACTACCATTGTGGAAGAGGTGCCGTTTTGGAAACATCCCAAAAAAATGAAAACCTGTGTAGCAGAATTTCTTACTCAAGCTGACCACAACTTGATCGTGTACAAATCTTTAGCCTTACATCTGGTCTGTTTACAATTTTAGGGACATCGATCATTACACTTGGCATAACTATTAGTAGTCAGCAACTCAATAATACCCTATTATAAGGGTTTTCAAGTTGATTGGATCGCTTTCTGAACTAAATTATGGTCGTTAAAAACGCGGATTTCAAGTCTCTACCGTATCCTTACAGTAACGAAGAGTGATCGATGATTCGCTTCACGTTGTAATTCTAAATCACACAGTTTTACAGTTTAAGGTCCATAGGTTCGTGAAAGATCCTCAAGGCAAGAGTAGGGATTTTTTTGGAAAAAAATGCGTTGAGATTATCACTAAGCAGTGACATTTTTATAGATAATGTGCTAAGACAGTTTTCTAGATAAGTCAATCTTGTTTATATCGTATAGTATAGTGGTGGCAGTGAATTACAACGCTGGTAGTGCATGAAGCTCAGTTAGTTTTGAAGCCCAGAGCATATCGTCGAGAACCTCATTCGTTTTATCATCCCATAATCTAGTTTTCCATTGCGTAGCAACTGCCAAGTAGTATGTAGCAACCGAATATAAAAGTTTATTTTGGAATATGTGTTTTGTCATTTGCTTTGCGAACTTTTTTCAGAATCTGAAGCTGACTAAACCGGAGCGATTATAGCTCTATCTACCATCTCGCTAATTTTGTACAAATTGTGTCACGAGCACCACCTCATCATCGCATGAGCTATATTTATACGTTTCTTTGTCCGTAACTGCACAGCACTATATCACATCCTTCACGAGACTCGCATCTTTTGTTGCGCTTTTATCGTGAGTCCAATCTATTGGCATCTCTTTTTCATTAGTGGACATGCAAGTTCCGGACTAGTGAAATTTCACTCAAAATTCTGTGCTGCATCTCACGTATCAAGAATTGATTACTTGAATTTGCGTCTTTGCGAAAGTAGAAACGGGTGGAAAGTCTACGAGAGCTTGTCCTTAGCGGCACGATGATGGAATAGTCTACGAGTGAAAGTACGGCTGTTAAGCAACAGTGGACCGGCTGCAGAGACCAAACCCAAATCTGACCGTCCATTCCAAGAAATAACCAGCTTTAGTTTTGATAGCGAACAAAGATGATGCTCATTCATTTGAAGATTCAGGACCTTTTTTCAACGTCTCCGTCAACACAGTTCTTCAGGTTTCATGCCTCTGCTTGTAGCGAGGTACTTGTGCTCGTGTCTCGATTATCCACACCCCTCCGTCACTTCCGCCTTAGGTACCACAGCCTTTCTCGAGAAGCGAGATGTCTCATAACAGAAAGAAGGATGAAGGTAATGTTTACCTTTTGTATCAGTTGAACTGTTGTGGTCAAATAATGTGTTTGTGTGCACTTGAGCATTTGCAGTAGTATATCCTACTGACTTCTTCAGAAAGACGTCATCACATTGAGTTTCTGTGTGGATGGGCAGCTGGATGTATTGAAACCTGTATTTTGTATCCATCGAACAAGATTATATTTCGCCAGCAGTTACATGGTTTCTCAGCCAAGGTAGCATGGTCTCAGGTAATCTAATCAGATCTCTTTTTTGCATTGCTCAGGTTAAAGGTTTGATTTCAGGTGAAATCGGAAGGGATACATAGGCTCTATCGAGGTCTCTTACCTCCACTCATCATGCGCACCTCGTCCCGTGCCGTAATGTTCGGCTTATATGATAAATTCCAAGTGAGTAGTTTGTCTACGTTTTAACGACTTCCTTTTGGAAAAACATCCCCAGCACTGCAACATTCTACATTCAGTCTTCGCTCAGATGTCCCCACTCTCCACCAAATACCTCGTTTACACTTTGTCATGCTCAAGCAGCCTTTCTAGGCAAGTGTTGTAATTTGTGACATATAATACCAAACCACTACATTTTTGTTTCAGCCGGTATCTGTGAAGCCTCGCTTTGCCCCTTGGAGCGGGTTCAAGTGTTACTGCAAACGTCTGCTTTCCATGATCGCTTCAAGAATACCGCTGAAACATTTTGGGCCTTACGAGTATGTCTGATTTGACGTTGAGGTGGTGGTGAGGCAATGCTGTTTTCAAGGCTTTTGGCTACCGAGAGTATTACCGTGGAATCTCTATGGTGATGATAAGAAACAGCCTGTCAAATGCCCTTTTCTTTACGCTCAGGGAGCCGTTCAAAAAAGCAGTGAGTCTTCTTTTACTATTTGCCATTGAGCTCTAAGAATTGCCATCATTTCTTTTGCTTTTATTTCCTCGCTTCAACAAGACAATCAAAGTATTCTTCTATTGTTTTGCCCTCATTCCACGTTTTGAAATTGAGAGCTTAGACTAACTGGCTTTTTTGTTGTTTGTCTTTACCCCTGAAAAGGCAGCCGGCATCTAAGGCACTGCTCTCGATGTTTTTGATTTTTTCAAAACTTATGTTGGCCTGTTTTACTTTTACTCGGGCTTTCTTTTACTGATTTCGTTGATTTCATAATTTGATTATGCTAGAAATAGAACGTGAATATTTTTCTATGTAATAGAACTAACATTTCTTTTACTCAAACCTGGTTGTGTATGATTTCAAATGTGTTCGCTTATTCCGCTCTTATTTCATGATTCACTGGAGGGATATATTACATGTGGGTGGAGCGCCCTCTGGTGGTCCTTGACTCTAACATACCTAAAACTGAATACACCACTTGTCTGTCGTCCACAGAATAGCTAAAGTGAGAAGCCATTTTTCATGTGGGACCAGAAGTGTCCATATGTCAGTCCAATGTACCCAATAAAAAAACTTACATAATTTTGAATTTCTTCCATAGAACACTTTTCTTGAGCATGACTGTTTTGGCAAGCTGTGCTTTTGGGCTTAGATTTCCAAGAGTGGGAAGTAATCCATAAAGATTCAGTAAGCATCTGGGATAGCAAGGAGAGACATAATGGTTTTCATGATATTGCAGTAATTGCAAAACTTATAAAATAGATGCGTCAAACGCAAGGCAACTAAAAATTGGACAGAACTTTAGGAAAAGTGGTGTGGTAGCGTCCACGATATATAGTTCTAAAGCAGTTTCTAGCCGCAAATATCGTGTATACAGTAACTTTTACTGATCGTGTTATATACTCTGAAGGAGTTTTCGTCTCGTACATTTACGGTTCCTCCCCCTTCCCCTCCCGCCTCCACTCCCATGGCTCCTACTGAATTTACACAACGTGGCCTTAGGAGCACTCACTGCCTAGTGGCGGGTCAATTATGACTCCTCAGAGTGACATAATTTTAGGTGATGGATGCGAAACCTACGCGCAGCCTCAATACCACAAGGATTCTGGCAGATTTTGCTTCTGGTGCTATCCTCGGTGCTACAATATCGACTGTCTTCTTCCCTTTGAACGTTGTCAAGAATCATATGCAAAGCAAGGTAAGTCTGCGCGATTGTTCATATCTTTATGTAATGTTCTCACCTTTTCTGATATTCAGGTGGGCGTAGCCTACGACAATCCCCTCAGAGTCTTTTCCGAAGTATGGCAAGAGCGGCAAAGATCTCTTCGAGGATTGTATCTGGGGGTAAGTTATCCAACTTCTCACATCATCCCTTCATTGATTTTGCCTAGGTTCATCTGAACTTCACTCGTTCACTGCTAGCTTGGGGTATAATAAATAGCACTTACGAGCTGCTTCGTCGGACATTCAGGCCCCTGGAAGACGAGTAGTGTTTTTCATCTGGTAGCCGAAACAGCCGCCAGTATTGTTAAGAGTCCAGAGTATCTATGGCATATTGAAATTTGCTTTTTCGGCTTGTTCTTTTTAGATTACAAGTTGAACTGTAATGTGATTTTCTACCTGCCTTTGTCTTTTCGAAACGCATCCACTGACAGATGCGTTTGCGTTTGTTAACCTCAGTCTCCATATATTATAATACCTCAGTGCTTCTTATTCGCCAAATTGTTTTTTTTTTGCTTTTGCTCTTTGTGATGAAAGCAATGCCTTCTAATAGGATTATTTTTATTCATTGAAATATATTGACATTCGATCCAAATTTTGCGAATTATGTTGCTGTTTTGCTACTTCATACTTCATTGCTTGTAGTCGTAGAATTTAAATTTTTTAGAGTAGATATAACTTTAGGTCCCTATGAACTGATATAAGTTTTCGACTAAGCTACTTATATCATCTGTGGTTCCCCTTGACTGATGCTTTGGTGCATTCTAGTCAAGGGTAACCTGCATTGTGCGTATTTAGGAAATGAAGAATATTAGATAGGTTAGACAGAGAAGTCTTTTCTAGTGAGTAGTCTCTACTGTCAGCGATTTAGATCTCGCCTTGACATCTGTTAGGAACATTTGTTTTGAATTTAAAGAATTTGTTGGAGACACTGCATAAAAATTCACTTGATTTCGCTATGCTCTTGTTGGTTTTTGAATAGGATTTGAAACTGCCATCGAGCACAATACAAACGATTCACAAAGCCGTTGTTTGCTTTGAGCATGCGGCCGCCGAACAATTGTTGTAGTAGATAATTGAAGCGCTTCCACTTGAACGCAAAAGTTACTCACGGATTTCGGTGAAATTCGCCCGGCGGGGGAGGGAGGGGGAGGTATTCGACCTGCAGAATACGGAAATGATATCCATTTCGCGTAGTTTTTGAAGGATTAGGCAGGCATACCATATGGGGTCAAAATCTCAGAACTCGCTAAAACTTTGCATAGTTAGGTGAATCGACACGCTGACCACGAATTTTATATTCATAGTACGGTGTCAGGATTACGAAATCCGCCAAAACTTTGCTTGAAGGGGTTATTGGACATGCTGATCGTGAAAATGATAGCCACTCCTCTCGATGACACCATATGGTAGGGTTACGGTAAGATTATGGTTTGGGTTCAGGATCTCAGAATTCGTTGGAACTTTGCATGGAAAGCGTTACTGGACATGCAGATTACGGATAAGAACTTCAATTGATAAAACGCTTGAGTATCTAGCCTGCAGTGTAGGTAATTTGGTAGTGATCTACGGTAACCCCTCATAAAAGGCCCTACCATGCAAAAAGAATATCCATGAACAACATGTCCAACAACCCTCTATGCAAAGTTTTAGCGAATTCTGAGATTTTGACACCATACCGTATGTCTGCCGTGACCCCTCAAAAAGCTCCACCACGCGAACTGGATATCATTCCGTAACAGGTCGAATAGCCCCCCCCCCCCCTCCCTAACTTTTTGCGTTTATTAAGTGGAATAGTACCGATCTTGAGAATTGTTTTGATACAAAAACGACCAAATATACGAACTACCTCGTACAAATATCATAATTTCTCAAATCATACAGTTTTCTGCAGTAAATACATTGAAAAAGCAAAAAAAGCATTTACGAGTAGAAATTGTATTTTAGTAAGCCTCAGTCGATTCTTTGATGCTACTTGTTAGATGTAAAACCCCCAATTAGCTCTTGAAATGTCAGTCAGAGTATTTGTGGGTGATTGGATTTTCAAATCGCAGTCTCAGACTTCAATCAAGGTTCCAAGTTGTCCGTTGCGAAAACCATGCGATGGACTGATAAGCCACTGCGTCGCTTCTCTTGAGAGGAGTATGAAACGGAGATTTCCTGAAAAAATTGAACAGTACACATTTTGTACCAAGTAAAAATTTCGGAAGCAGTTTTTACTCGATAAGTTGATTACAAATATAGTGAGTGTTTTAATTTTCAGAGTCAAGCGAAGAGGTACTGGAGGAATATGGTGCATGATGGCAAGCCAAACATTGTAGATATCCTGGAAGAAAATCTTTTGAATAGTAATTACTTCGTTCATTTGAACGAGAATAACTTTTGCGTAATATTTTGCTGAGAAAGCTGTTTTTTCTTGAGCTACTATTTTGGAATGATAAGTTGTTTCAGATTTAAAATTGTCTCTCAAATTGCAATGTTACAAAGTCACAAAATAAATTGCACAAATATAATACAGAGTAAGACAAAGGTCGCCCAGATGAAGATTCAGTGTTTAGTGACTAGCTGAAATATGTAACTACATTGGAACTTGATAAGAAGTCAGTTTATAACCTTGAACACAAAATTTTGAAAAATTGCACTTGCGTCCGACAATCGCGCTCTAAACGCTCTGGAGTGAAGCGCACTTCCGCAAGCGTGAGAACGACGGTGATAAAATTTGGTTTGTGAATTTTCGTGTAAGCATTTCTTCGTCATTACTTCGATTTCAGTAAATGCAGCATTACCTCTTTGATGTTATTTGTAGTTTTGTTTGTATAGGGCACCCTCATGTGTTTGCATTCTCCACAATTTTCTTCCTAGCATTACTCTCATGGCGTCAGGTTCATTGGCATTTGTTTTAATTCTTGTTTCGAAGAATGAGATAATATAATTCTTGCATTTTTTAAAATTTCGAATGTGCAAACAGCTAAGCCAAAGATTATCTTGCGGAAAACAAGGAAGTAGTGTTTTCGCGTGTGTTTATCTGTTTGACTATGCATAACTTCCTTTTCCGAGGATTTTCGTCCTGTTCTCCATTACTGACATCGATTGGTCTTGCTTGTTATTGGTAAAGATTTGTGCTTGACCGTTTCATTCATGGCGATATGAAGTTGGGACATCTAACCATCTTATCATTTGAACTTATTTAGAAACTGTGGCCCCATCTAGATGGCTACGTTTTACGAGGAGGACGACGGTGACGCAACGGATTATTCATATGGTCTAGATGACAATAGCGATGGAGAATCTAGACCTACGGTGGTGCTTATGGGCCAGAAGAGGTATGGCTTGCAAGATTTCATGATATAGGGATGCGAAAGATGTTAGTCACATGCATTATGGTCTCTTTAAACAACGGCACATTCGATTTATCCAGGCAGATGTTGAAAATCTTGCTCATTCTTCTGGTCACTGCATGGAACTTTTAAGCGCAATCAGTGTGGTAGAGTCAAAGTTCATGACTATCAGCAAAATGATAAGCCAATCTCATGGCATGGGGACGTTAGGGATTGTTCTTGCAGGGTCATGAAAGTGGAAATGCTTGAATTTGATCAGTTTGGCCTAGGCAGTTTACATTCACTGTTCGTGTAAAATAGCATTCTTTTTGCAAGACTATACCGTATGCGAGCAGTTGTTGATTTTTTGGTTTGGATCAGAACTTTTATACGATCATAAAGGGATATAATAGGTCTCAAACTCGAACAAGGAATGGTTGTAGCGGTGCCGTAGCCTTTGGAGGCTGCAGCTTTTGAATAAACACCGGTTTCATTATTCATAATGGCACAAATGAGAAGTTAGATGTCAAGTTTTATAGGAGTGGTAAAACCTCTATACGAAAAGTGGTTTTCCAAAAGATGTCACCCAATGAAACATTATTCGTGGAAAGCACTGCAAGAGTTACGAAGGACGGTAGGAGCCTAAGCTTCATATCTTGTCAAACAACTATGTAGATGCGAATGGGGCTGACTTAATCATTTGCAGTAATCGCGTCATCCTTCATCAATTTCGAAACGTTGGAATTTCCCGGTCAAATGGATCCTTTTGATAGTTCCCTTGATCCTGTAGCTACTTTCAAAAGATGCGGTTAGTGATGCTTGCTACGAATTCATAGCATGTGTTTGTTTTGTTATGTCACTTTCTAAAAACTGAAGTTCTTTAGGAGCTCTTCTTTTTATTGTGGATGCTCAAGACGAGTATGTGGATTCACTAAAGAAGATGTCCGAAAACTTTACGCAGGCGTTCCGAATAAATCCAAATATCAAATTCGAAGTCTTCATACATAAGGTTAGGCCTTGTTAATGTTTCTTTTACAAAAGAGGGCGGCTACAGCAAGGAAGCCGAGGTAAGATTGAGAATACTATTATTTGCTTTTTCTAGCGAACGTACCATATGGTTTGGGATTTTCTCACTGAATTCCGGCTTATCACTTGTTTTGTTTTATACCGATTACTACGTATTAGTGAACTGATATCACTTTACAAAGGGTGTATGGCATTAGGCGACAAACCGAGTTTCTTGTTCCCCTGAAAACCCCTCGTGCAAAACGTCTTCAGTGGCAAAAACGGGGGGGGGGGGGTGGGGGTCGCGACCGATACATAACTCGACCCCGTCAAAAATGGCGCATAGTTGTGAGTTACGAGCTTTACGCTGCTTGCGTTTTGCCCGTTTTGTCGCCTAAGGAGCCGCGCATACATCACGCGATCATCGCCTCGCAATTCCATCAAAAAGAAAACTGTTAGGAGTCCATTGCATGCCCATCGTCTTGTATTCCAGTTGTGATAGATTTCCGACTCGACTGATCGCGAACTACTATCACAACCGAAATGCAAGATGATCGGCATGCAATGGACTCGTAATTGTTTTAATAGGAGAATCATGAGGCGATGAAATCGTGTGACGTATGCTTGGCCCTCAACCCTCCTTTTGCAAATGGCAGTACAAATAAGCGGAATTTGGATGGCGTCATACTTGTTGTTTCACGATGTCGTTTTGTTGCTGCGTGCGAAAATGAGAAACGAAGTAGCCAGTCATGCTAGTTATATAGGCTTGAATAGGAATACCTAAGTGATGCTGTGTATCAAGGCCTTCGAATTGTATAGGACCTGTTGCTTGATGTCAAACTCTGTTTTACAGGCTGATGGGTTGACTGAAGAGAGCAGGGTTGATGCACAATATGACATCTATCACAGGGTTGGTACATGCTTTGCTCTTGTCCGATTGTTCTACGTATTGTGCTGTTTGCAATTCTCATTTCACATGCTTTCCTATGAGTTAATTCAAGGTCAAGTGTGAGCTTGCCGAGCAAGGACTGGAAGACTTCAATGTGACTTTTCATCTCACGTCTATTTACGATCACTCTATCTTCGAAGCGTTCTCGAAGGTTGTGCAAAATCTTGTGAAACGACTGCCTACCTTGGAGCGGTTACTTGATATTTTCAATCAGGTTTGAGTGCTTGATTTTCTGCAGAGAAGGGTAGTCTTCGGCAGTGATCTCCTCGAAAGATTTCGTTTTCTTTTAGGGTTCAAATGTGGAGAAATCCTTTTTGTTCGATGTGGCCTCGAAGATCTACATAGCTACCGACACCACACCCGTTGAAATGGCAGCTTATGAGTTATGCTGCGATATGATAGATGTTACCATAGACATATCTGGCATATATGGGTGAGGATTTTTTGCTTTTTTTTGTTTTTGCTTTATGCTAGATTACTACCTTGCTTATCAAAACCTTCTTTGAATTCTTGCGTTTTTTTACCAGTTATTATGTACAAGGTTGTAATTTCAAAACACATTTGCTTATATTCAAGAGCCAAAGAAAATGACGGAGAAGTCCAAAATCCTTTCGACGACAACTCCTATGCCGTCATTCGGCTAAAGACTGATCAGGTACGAGAGTTGTAGATATCTGTCTTCTAGGTCTTCACTTTTTCACCTCTCAAACAATAGTTCGACCATTCAGGTGATGTTCCTTCGCCAGCTGAACAAACATCTTGCTTTAGTATGCGTTATAAGGGGTGAAAATTTTGAGAAGCAAGGTCTGATAGATTACAACTTCAACTGCTTCAAAGAGGTGTGGTTTCCAACAATATGTTTCTTTAAGCGTAATTTCACATTTAGGGCATCGAGAATGTGTTTATGGTCCGGAAGCATATTCAAGAAGGATCGAAACATCATACTTGATAAAAAGAATAACTAGATGTACAGGTTCAAGACTTACTGACGAATTGTGATCGCCTTGCCTTACTTTGTTTGACATTATCTTCTTTGATGCTTATTTGATTTGTGGTCGTGGTCTTCTCAACTCAAGCACAGTTTTACTTTATGCTTTGTACAACATTCTTTGCTAGATCATCTTTCATTCTGCAGTTGCACTGATATTCCCGCGCACACGTTGCGGAGCATTTTGGACCACGTGTTGAACGGGTTGTGCATGCGATTTTTTTCGGAATGTTTTATCGTTTTATGTATACCATATGCCCTTTCAGCTGTTGTAATACTCAAGCAATCATTGAAACTTACTTCTCATGATGTCTGCAAAGTTTTAGTTAGGACCTTTACCAGTTGTTATTGTACGTACTTCTTTCCGATCTGTTTTAGTTTTATCTCATCTAGTTTCCATCCGTTAATGCTTATACTTGCTCAAATTATGCGCCATCAAAAAGAATGTTTGAGGTATCAGTAGAAAAGAAAGCGCATCAGATTATGACAGATATTTTATTATTGTATGGAGTCCTTTCTCAGATGTAATTATATTTGACATAAATTCTTGCAGTCATCTACTAGTGGTTCAAAGCATGTGTTTTCACATGTTTTTCAGAATGAGACACACTTCATTGTCATATAGGTGTTTTCAGGTTATAGCACGACATTACTGGCTACCGCTATTTGTGTTGAACATGGCCGGGTAGCTAGATTTTGAATATAAGAATGGTCCGTCTTTTTGTAAGTTTGTATGCTTTAGAAAAGCAACATAATCAAGACGCGTAGCTCTTTTTTGATAAAGAAACTAATACCGTGATCAGGCTTCATCTCTGCGGACTGTTGGTTCTTATACGCTACTAGCTGGCTTACCCGGCTCCGCCGTATGTTCCGAATAGAAAATTCCATTTCTTAACCGATCCGGACCAAACTTGGCACACATACATTTCGGGCCCCAGCGGGTGTCACAGTCCACTTTTCGTTATCGATCGATGTCGATTTTATCGATTTTTTGCAAAATTTGAGCTACGGGGCTGGGAGTTGGTACAGGGGGGTAATCGAGCATGCTGATCACCCCCACGGGGGGTGATCAGATGTTTGGTCCCGATCGGTTCAGAAATGGAATTTTCTATTCGGAACATACGTACATACATACATACATACAGACAGACAGACAAACAGACAAACAGACATTCAACTTTATATATAAGATACCATGGCAGGAAGTGCCGTAGTCCGTGGAAGAGGAGCTTTCCGGCGTGGTCAACCTGCAATCACTTTTTGTTTCTTTGAATTGCGTGTTTATCCAACTTGTATCCCATATCATGGTAAGACTGTCTTCAAAACTCGAAGCAACGCAATCTGGCAGAAGACAAGGGACGCATTAAAGGCAACGTCCACTCTAAATTAGGGGTTTTGACCGTTTGACATGATAGTAGGGCCTCCGATCAAGCCAATGCCCTAGTCGTGGCTCAAAAATTCGCTTCGAGAGCGACGAAATCGCTTCGGAATAACGAAGAGGCACGATGATTCCAAGTCGATGCCGCCCTTCTTTAGTAATGCCCACCCATCCCTGTCTTCCCAACCAATCAATCATCCCGACAGCCCCGGGTTCTTTCGGGGATTGTCGGGGTTTTCGCACATTCTCTACTTCATATTCGGAATCAGGGACATGAGAAGTCTCCGGAACGACAAAAACATGGAAATCGAGAATTTGCGTGGACGGTTCAAACGTTCATCCCTTTGTTAAACTTACGACCCACCAGTAGGTCGTATTGTCCGAAATGGTACTTTTTTTTCAAAAAAAGTTCAAAACATCTCTCCGAGAATAGATGGATATCAGATATGATCTATTTGTTGTTGGCATTATACTATAAGTTTACGGTAGTCATTCTGTAGGAACCCAACGTCATGAACTTTCATTGAAAAAAATGTATTTTGGGGTTATTTCACATGCTAACCACGATTATAGTGTCCACTTTGTTCACTACTGTCTACAGTGGGGCGGAGCAGGACGGCGTAAAAACCAAAAAACTGATATGAGAAGGCGGTATCAGGACTAGAGACTAACATTTTCATAGTCAGCATGCTGCAAAACCTATATATGTAAAATTTCAGCTTCCTGGGAGCTAGCATTGGTCTCTTGTCCACCTCGTAATTCTCGTGCATGCACACTTGAATGTTCAGAAACAGCATTATTCTGCGAAGTATCTGAGCTAAAATCTGTGCTTTATCTTTATCTAGGGTATACTTACCGTAACATTACATTACAGTATCCCGAGTTAGGACCACTCTGGCTGGTGCTTCGCCTAGGTGTCCCTAATCATGTGCCAGAACCCCGTAACATTCCATCGTAGACTGGCAAAGCTAGAACTTTAGGAATCTCACGGCCCACCGGTGGGTCGTATTGTCGGGAATGGTAGAATACGACCCGCCGATAGGTCATATTGTCGTGAATGCGTCAAGTCAGCCGCTATATGGCTCTACATGCTTGTGAGAGTCAGTGAGTCTGCCGCCTTTCTTATGCATCAAACTCTCCCAGCTTTCTGCATCTCCTTTTGAACGCTTTTCTGCTATCAGAATTTTGGAAAGCATTGGGTTGTTGAGTATGTTCAAGGCCTTGTGGCATCCCGCGTGTGCAATGGCCGCAAGCTCACCGACTCTCGCGATCACGCATAGCCATAGGGCTATGCGTGATCGCGAGAGTCGGTGAGCTTGCGGCCATTGCACACGCGGGATGCCACAAGGCCTTGAACATACTCAACAACCCAATGCTTTCCAAAATTGCTGATGTTGCATGACTTTCAAACTTTTGCCCATTGCTTTATTTTCGTGATCATTTTCTTTCTTCTTAAGTAATCACAAAAACTACAGATTGGATAGAATGTTCGGGTTGGGGAATCAAGTCAGAAATGTTCTGGTTTATTTTCGTTTTTGACAATCATAACATCTGCTAACATTTCTGTATGATCATAGACCGTTGAACAAGCAGAAAAGCACAACTGCTTGTTAGGGGATGGTGGATATGAATAAAAGATATTTACCGTTTAGCTGGTTATGTTTGGAAGTGGTCGAAGCAAAAAACTGTCTTGTGGAGAAAGAGATTTTGCAGGCGTTTAAGACTAGACGACATTTTTCCTTTGAAATCGAACCAAAGGATCAGAATCAGATAAGGCAGTTTTGAAATCCCGCAATTATCTCTAGTGGATACGGTAAATATACGCCTCTAAAGTGCCCAATTTTGCCGACATTTGCGCGTGAAGAAACTGGTCGTAACTTAAATTTTGTTACACTTTGACTTTTACCGCAATAAATCATAGAACCAGCTCTCGATCAAGTTTCATAGTACAGACGATTCACAGAACGCAAAGACTGCGGACGTATCGGCGTCTCTTCGATCGAGCTCTCTTTCGTTCCTCTTAAAGTCCGCTGCCTCTCCCATGCGCGAACTATCTCGGCCGGACGCAGCGGCGCCCAGTCTTTGAGTGTCATGAATCGTGCATACCTTTCAAGAAAGCAAAGCAATTACAAAAGTGTCTAAACCAACTTGGACCACGTGAATTCTGGAGCCAAAAGCAAATATCCAAATGCTCGAAAAGTAGAGATAAACAGAACGACAAAAAAATGTTTTGAACATAAGCAATCGTAAAACAAATACCTTCAAAAGTACAATCAAATATTTATAATTTTCAACAAGCTCTGATTTTCGAGAAATGATGCCTTTAGCATGAAAACCCTATCAAGGAAAACCAAACTCAGTAATTCTTGAAAGCTAATGCCCATGGAAAGCTAAAAATTCGTAGTCGCACATTAGACAAAAAATCCGACTTTTGGCTGGAAATTTTTTTTAGAATTTATTTTCAAATTTCACGTATCAAACTTTTTTGTGATCTTGAAACGCCATTTTATAGAGCTTGCTCCTTCCTATCAAATGACTTGTTATTTACATTTTACTATCTTCTCTCGGTTGGATTAGGAACATGCATTGATTTTGCATCAACCTAATATTAATTCACAGCTTATCGCAGTGACAGTCTCAAAAAGTTGTTTGGGGGAAGTGGGAACAGATAATAGATTTTTTTCCGAAATGAGGCCTGCCCTCGGTCATCGCTTTCAACAATTCTTAACTCATTACCTATACTGTTATAGAATAAATAATTATTCCAATACATACACATCGAGTTACTTGCATAAACTTTTAACTAAAACTCAAAAAATCCGCAATCCAATCCTGGGTGGAAAGGGGAAGGGGTCGGTCCGTCACTGCTTAAATTGGTCTCAAGCTTCAGGAAGAAAACAGCATTTGAGTCGAAATCACGGACTAGCCCGAAGGAAAGATTTTCTGGTCCAAATCATGCTTCAAATCTCCTTCTTTTCATTAGAAATCATGAGAAGCTTTCTTTTTAAAATGGTGATAGCTTGAAAATGTTGGAAGAAATACAGATTGCACATGCAAAGTCATATACTCTAGAAGAATCCATCTACTTGGTAGAGTTTGAGCAGTGAATATTTATCAGTAAGATTAATTTGTGCACATGGGGTGTCCCAAAAGTATGTATATAGTCGATGTCAATTACGTACGCAGTTTGTAGAGCTGGATTCAACTCACAATTTGATTTACAGTTGAGCGAGTCACTGATCGTTACTGTAGTATTACGGTAGCAGCTTTGAGGAAGCTTTTGACTCAGTGAGGATATTTCACTTATAAAAAAACAGCTGAAAACTCCTAAAACAGGTTAATCGACACTGGTCCTAAATACTGGAAATTGCACTTCACTATAATGCTTCTTTCATGAGTTACGCTATACCTTGAGCCGTTTTTTGATGTTTTTTGAAAATTTGATTACGTCATTTGAAAAGCCCTGAGAACTTATAAGCTGTTGTGTAGTGAAATCAGCGTGCATGAAAACCATGTTACGCAAGTTTCAAGGTTTTTTTAAAGAAATTTCCTTACAAACGGCTTATCTTACAGTGGCTCCATTTGCTGCGAGTTCCTTTTTTAATGCCACGTAACAAAGAGTCTAAATCAGGGTTAAGCTTGGAATCAGACGCGCCCGACCTGGGGGGTGGTATTGGGGGTTAGAGTGAAGGGAAGGGGGTCGTAATCAAGACAATTTGTTCACAAAATGGCGGGGATGCTACGATTGAGTGAGGTGAAGGAGAAGAGCGCTAGACCAATGAATATCATTCCACTGGAGAGGGAATGATTGTCGTTAATTGCATATTGGTTATTGGTTAACGAAGTTTCTGCCAACGGTAAGACCAAGAAACTTGCTGTGTAAAGTGGGTACGATTTCCGTAATCATGCCAAATTACCTATACGAGCTCTCAAACCACCACTTATCACATTTTCTAGTGTTTCCTAACGTCTAGGAAGCGTGAATTTCGAACATGAATAACTTGGTCACAAAAGTAAAAGAAGTGTGCCTTCTTAGGCTCAAAACGAAGTAATACTCCTTATCAGTCTATGACAGAAATTAGATCTTCTATCTTTCAAAAAGTGGATAAAGAAGTGCTGCCAAAATTTCAATCACCGCGTTTTTCACCTTGAGTGCTTCAACTCCACCGATCACCACA